GCTGTCGCGGGCGGAGCGGATGGGGCGGGAGGTGTTGGAGAGAGTGGGTTGGCGACGAGTTGGGCGGATGGGGGAGGAGTCGCGGGAGCTGAGGGTGCGGGGAGAGGTCCAGCCTGGGTTGTTGAGGGACGGGATTGTGGAGAGGGCGGTGTTGGTCGTGGTCGTGGTCGAGGATGGGTGAGAGGTGATGGACGAAGGGGGTACGGGGTTGGAAGTCGGAGGTTTCGAGGTCGCGATGGACGGAGGTACGGATGTGGAAGGAGCTGACTCTGATCGATCGGGTGAGCCATCTGGACGTGGCGATGGCCCAGTGGAAGGGTTGCTGGATGGCATAATGGAGTCGTCGTCCTTGTTCTTCTGCTTCGATGTTGCTGCTACTGCTGTCGGTTCGACTAGCGGATTGGGGGTCATGACGCCAGGAGACGGGGACGGAGGAGGACCAGGGCCAAGTGCGCTGACATGGCAGGAGATCTCTAGGCACGAAAGTAGCCGACAAACCGGAGATACAGAGGATTGGAGGAGCGGTCAAAGGTAGTTAGGACAGTAGCAAATGGGCGGATTCGGAAAAGTTGACGGAGCGAGGTATGGGTGGTGAAAGGAAAGACATAAGCAGCCAACAAGGTGATGCCACAAGCCGAAGGTGATGCCAGCGAATAGGAACGGAACGCGGTATTGGTCTGTCTGGCGCGCCGGAGAACAAAGGTATATATCTGCGTCATGCCTCAGGCAACTAGGCATACATGCCCCTTCCTCCGGGGTGAAGAAATTGATGGCCCATACAGCGTTTTCTTCCCGCAAAATAATAACCATCAAAAAGGGTAATTTAATTCAGACTCTTACGGTAGGTAGATCTAACTTTAAAAATATAATTTGACCTTTAAATCTGCCTTTTAATGTAAGGGTGCGTCGTTGCAGCTCGATTCAGAACTTAGATTTTGTGTGGTATAGACCATCAATTTCTTCACCCCCGGAGGTTTCCTGTTTCTTTGTTTACTCAACTGGATAGGTAATCCATCCATCCATCCAGAGTTCCACACCAGTACAGCTGTGCAGGCCGCAGGGACACCATCCACTACAGTCTGCACATCAACATCAAAACAAATTTCCCTGCATAAGACAACATAGCCGTTGTTCCTTGACTTCAGATTCATTCAATCCCATGCCATTTCTACCTAATCATCCGTCATCAAGTGTCATAACAATCCTCTTCCATCCATTCCGTCCATCCCATAAAGTAGTCCCGAAACCCATCCCACCCATCCATGATACAAAGTACTCCCCCCATTCCCAAACCCAGCCATCTTTGCCGTAAAAAACTCCTCGAGACGATCGAGTCCCGTCATTGCTTTTGTTGTGGGTGAACAAACGTCTGAATGCGTGATGTTTGTCAAAGCGCAACCCGCTCCAATGCCACCATGTCCACATCCCGTGCCATCTCCGACGCCACCGATACGTCGCTTGCCGGACCAAATGATGCCGGCGCCACAATGCGGAGGATGACCTGACGTGACCTGTTCCTTCGAACAGCATCACGCAACGACTCGGGTACGCCTTCCACGCAGGCCACGTCGCCTGCCATTGGAGAATCCAACCTCATGACCGATGATCCGGAACCACATCCCTTTCCCTCGTCTAAACCAAATCCATCATATCCACATCCCCTCCACCCTTCCCCCCATCCCCATCCCCCGGCCCCCAATTCCCCTCATACACCGTCGCTCCCGCCCGCCTCCTTGCTCTCACCCACTGCACCCCTTCCCGACAATACAGCTCATCCACCGTCGGCCGCGTCTCCGGCTCCGGCGCGATCATCCACTGCACCAGCGCGTCCAGCGACTCCGCGTGCTGCGGGTCCGCCATGAACGGGGGTGGGTGGGGGAGATGCGAAGGGCGGAGTTGTGGTGCGGGGGGCGCCCGGGGCGATTCGCTGTGGGCGCGCGCGTGCGAGGATCGTGTGAGCCGCGTGCGTGGCGTCGCGTCGACGGGGGCATCGGCGTGGAAGCTCTGGGCGCGCGGACTGCTCGCCTCGATCGGGTCGCCGCTCGCGTCGCGCGGCAGCATGCTTTCCTCGCTCCAGGTGAGGCTCGGCAGGTCGCGGAGATCGCCGGCGCGCAGCCGCTGCCAGGACGCGCCGTTGTCCGGGAGGACGATGTTCCCGGCGATCTCGAGCATGATCATGCCGAGGGCGAAGAGGTCGGCAGGCTTGTCGAAGCGGCCGGCGAGAACCTCGGGGGCGATGTATTCGCGGTCGCCTTCGCCGTCAATGTTGCGGGGGGCGGGCCAGGAGGAGGCGAGTCCGAAGTCGCCGATTTTGAGGACGCCTTCCCAGTCGATGAAGATGTTGGCGGGTTTGAGGTCGAGGTGGATGACGTTGCTGGTGTGGATGTAGCCGATGCCCTTGAAATCTGGTCAGCGAATGTCTTCGTAGAATAGATCAAATAGAAAACCGAGAATGCACATACCTCCGACAACTCCAACAAAATCTTCCAGATCCGAAAATCGTCCAACCGCGCTTTATACCCGGCCTGTGTCAAGAAATCCTTCAAGTTCCCATTCTCGCAATACTCCGTCTGGATATACAAATAACCCTTCGACTCCCACGAGTCCGCAAACCGCACAATATGATCATGCCCGCGCAACGCCCGCAGAACCTCCACCTCCCGCAACTTGTTCTCCCGATCCTTCATCCCGGAGTACGGCCGCTTGCTTTTCTTCACCGCCCACACTGCATTCTGCACGGGGGACAGCGACGTCGAAGGGCTGGAGAATTGGAGGAGCATCCCCGGGCGGCGCTCGACGCGGTAGACGAGGGAGAATTCGCCGCTGCCTTGGAGGGTGACGATGTCGAAGCGGGAGGTCAGGGCGGTGTCGACGTCGTTTTGCGTGACAGACGCAGCAGCGTGGCCTGGGCCAAAACTGAAGTTAAAGCCGTTCTCGCGTGGAGCGGTGGGTGTGGCGGGTGGGGGTCCGCGGCGGGAAAAGCTACTCTCCGCGTCATTGGGGATGCCTATCGAGGTGGACGGGCGGTTGAATTCGAAGCTGGAATCGGCCAGCGGGGTGTGCGGTGAACGTCTGCCGGACTCAGAGCCGTTGGGGGGAGTTGCTGAATCGCGCGTCATGTTAGAAGATTGTCGGAGTGGGTTGAGTGGAGTGTGCGGCTTACAGAATCGATCTTTCTCGGGTGACAGCTCGTCCGTCTGCGTGGGTGCGACAAACGTATCCGCTCCAAGTGAGGTGCGCCGTCCAAATAGGCTACTTCGCAAGCTGTTCTCCTTCGATCGGCGACTCCCTTCACCGCTGGGCTTGGTTGGGGTCGGAGGAAGTTCGTCGTTGCTGGACTGGCTATCCATATTCCCGGTTGGAGAATTGCCCATATCATCACCATCAATGCTCAAAAAGCTAGCACGTCTCTGTCCCGGTGCTTGCGATTCGCGACACCCGAAGATACTGACGCCCTTTCCAAACGAGACGGGGGAAGCGGCAGTCATATGAGGACTATACGGTGTACTCGGCGTCCCGAACTCATGTCGCTGTTTCGCACGGTTGATCGGGTGAGGAGAACTCCGCAGCGGCGGGAACGAGACTCGCTTGGACGGCGTGTCGGGCATCTGGTAGCCTCCTATACCCCCAGGAGGCGCCACATCCACGTTGCGATGTTTCTTTGAGATCAGCCCCGTCGACATGAACGCGCCTGGAAGGGGTTTGGCATTCTTGTAATCAGGAGTGGCCTGGCCCTGTGCCTCGAGATTCCTTCCGTTTCCTGCTAACAAACTCTGGACGCGGCCGGCGGCCGGACGGGATGCGCCAATGGGGAGAGATCGAGAGAAGCTCTCGGCTTGGCTTGCGTTGGAACCGGTGGTAGAAGCTGGAGGGGGCGGAGGGCGGAACATAGCCGGCTGGTGGGACATGTCTTCGCTGACCAGACTCGAATTGGATGAAGAAGCGGTGATGGCTTTTGATAAGGGATGCGGGAGGTGTGAAGCCAAAGACGTCGACTTTGTTTTTGGTTGGGACATCTCGAATGGATGAGAACTGGTGAATGGCGAACCAGGCTTGGGAGGGGGAGAAGCACCACCAAGCGATGACCCATCCAGTGACATGCGCTGTTTTGCCTTCAAGGCAGCCGTCGCAGAAAGAAGCGGTTCTCCAGAACTGTGATCGAGCATCTTCACTCGGGAGGGACCGTGGGACTGGGACTGCCGTTGTTGCATGGTCGATCGACGAAGTGATAAAGATCGCCGAGGTGATGAAACCTTGATAGGAGTGGCGGGTTGCGCCCAATCGATTGTGTCGAAATCTTTGCCGTGGCTGTTTGGTGATCTTGAAGTGGAGGTAGAGCCGAAATCTTGATTGAAAACATCAAAGTCAGATGCCAACGACGCCCCGTGCAGACTCCTCCGCTTCGCCACCGGACTTCCCGTGCTAGCTTGATCGAAATTGACATGTCCATCCCCGCGCTTCAACGGGCTACTTCGATGACTATGGTTTAGATGCGAAAAGTCCGGTTTCGGTCTCGGCGTCTCACTTGACCTCAACCCCGGAATCTCGAACTTCATCGGCTGCGGCGGTCCACTCCCGTCCACCACCGTCTGCGTCCCCGTCATGTTATGATCGAGGTTCTCCTCCCCAAGTGTGGCGTGCTGCTGCGCGTGCGGCGCGACTTTCACATTCCCCAAGCTCGACGACTCGGTGAGCGCGGTGCGCAGCGGACTCTGCGGCGATGTACGCGTTCGCGGCGACCGCAGCGCGGCCGGGCGACGGAGGTTGAATTTCGGTTTGCGGGCGGTCGGCTGGGCGTGCGTGTCGGGGATCGGGGTGGCGGTGAATTCCAGATGGCGGAACTTGGGGGAGGCCGGGGTGGTGGAGTGTTGCTGATTGTGGAGGAAGAAGGAGGTGGGAGTGTTGGGGGTGCGGCTTGGGGAGTGGGTGGAGAGGTGGAGGCGGGAGATTTTGGAGGGGGATTTCGAGAGGGAGCGGCGGAGTTTGTCGATGGAGGAAATGCGGGTGAGGTTGGGGTCGTGGGGATGGTGGGTTGGTGATGGGGCATGGAGAGTGGCTCCGTTTTCGCGGGAGGGGGAGAAGTTGAAGTCCATGGTGTTGATTAGATCCGGAGAGGAGGAGACGTCAGTGTCCACCGAGGGAGTAGGAATGGCCAAATGGTTGGAAGGGTTGGAAGTGATAGAGTAGAAATGTCGATGTCAAAACAACAGGAACAGCGCGTCAAGTGACGGTCAAGTTGTGATGGCTGGAAACTTCCTCCATGTCATCTCCAAAGGGCTCGCGATTCCTTGTGACAGCGATGAAGCTGTTGGGAAGTCGGGTGAACGTGAGCGTGAAGTGATAGGACGCGTCGTGAATGTAGGCAGGCGTCTTGGAGAGGTTATCGGCAGGATGACGGGCTGCTGATACAAATCGGGTGAATTGAGATGAACTTCCAAGCAACTGAATAAATAGGTGTGTGCGTGGATGTGTCAACGATGGAGGTGGACAGGTGATGATATAGTGGTGGTGGTAGTAGTAAAGTGAGATTCAGTTGGTGTAAATGGCGAGTGAAAGACGTTGATGTGCAGCCGTGGCGGCCAAAAGGGTCCAACGGTGAACGGTCAGCTCAAGTACACGCACACACCCACAGACACGGATACAGCCGCCAAATCCAATTGTCGCTCGCTGGCCTTTGCTTCTGACGTGTCCGCGTGTTTACCAGACTCGATCTGTTTGAAGTTTGTGTGGGGAAATCAACATACAATTGAGTCTCCGGATCTTCCAGAGATATGGATTTCTGTTAATATGGATTTCTGATAATATTGATTTCGTTGTTGTGCACATTATTGAACGTGACCAGAATGGAAGGTGTGGTGTCTCATTCGGTCACTATTTAGCTCTGCTGCGGACATTGCGAATGGTTTCACAGGCTGATCAATCGACCTTCTGATTTAATTTTTATTATTAGTTACTAGTCTCGGAGATTGGGATTTCATGCATTCGTAATACTCTCTCGCGTTTCCGCAAGGAGACGGACAAATTGTGGTGTTGGCGCATGGGTGGGTGTTGGGGCCAGGGAAGGCGCGACGGACGCGTTTGTTTACATTGGTGTCTGAGTCAGCGACCCCTCCGGTTCTGTGTCTGTGCTACAAATTATGATTCACTCATGTCTCACTGAACACCATGAGCCAACATGTCTAGGATATTACAATAGGTTATGCTACTATTGATTGGTATGATAATGGAATAAGTATACATGGTCTCAGATAAGGAGCCTATCATTCCGTTAGCTTCGATATTCGCCTTTCCAGCTCCTTCGCAAAGAATAGTTCTCAAAGGATTCCCAGATACCACCCAATCCATCCAAGTACCAAGATCGATTCCAGCAACCCCTACTCCAACTTCAGCGACTCCTCCTGCAACACCCCATACAACTCCTCCAAATCCCTCGCCACCTGCTCAATCTCCTTACTCACCTGCCCCGTCACTAATGCATACGCATAAAACAACTCGAAATCCTCCTCCCGCAACACCCCCTCCCCCCGCCGCTCGTTCCACACCCGATACAGCCGCGCCAGGAACCGATCCCGCGGATGCCCCAGATTCGGCATCGTGTCGTTCAGCGGGTACTCCAGTTTCATCGACGACGCCAGCACGCTGAACAGGTGGCTGATGCGCTGCGAGAGGTGCGCGCGCTCCTCCGTCGTCGATTGGAGGACCGCCGCCTCGCCGCGCGACGCTTTGAGGTCTTTCGTGATCACCACTTTCATCGCGTAGAAGGCGTCGAGCATCCGCTCTGTGCTGTCGAGGAGGCGCGTGAAGGTTGCTTCGGGGAACGGACCGCGGAGCCCGAACTCGTGCGCCGCGGACGCCTTGAGCGCGTTGAGCCGGGCGAGATATCGTTTTAGATGTAGCACCTCGCGGATATCGAGATAGAACGACGCGGCTGCGGACGCGGCGGCAGAGGTAATAGTAATACCGTCCTCGCCCTCGACGAGCTGCAGGAGGGAGAGCGGGTCGCGTTTCCAGATGAGGCCCATGCGTAGCCAGAGGACGGCGACGCCGTCGACCATCTTGCGGCGGGCGGAGATGGCCCAGAAGAAGCGAGTGACGAGGATACCCCAGACGCAGCCGAGCATGACCGCCGTGGTACGGTGGAGGACAATCTCCCAGATCTCCGGGTTGATGCCGCCTTCGTCGTCGTCGTCTTCGTCTTCGTCTTGGATCGCGAGGCTGTAGGCGTAGAGCGCAGAGAGGTTGTAGGTGAGGAGGATGAAGCGGCCCATCGGACCTTTGCCGCGGCCGATGATGAGGTAGAAGCAGCCGCAGGATACTAGCCAACCTAAAATGGCGAGAACGAAGGGGTTCTCGTCGGCCACGATCCATGCGAGGGTGGCGAGAACCGCTCCCACGCAGGTGCCGATGAATCGATGGAGTCCCGTCGTGTTCGACGCTCCGATCGTCATCGAGCATACAAGCATGTATGACAGTAGCCCCCATTCTCCCCGGAAATGGGAGTAGAACGGCCGCGTGGTGGGGATGAATGACCACATCGCGAAGAGAATGGCGCCAATGCCGACTTTCACGGCGAACTTGACGTCTTCCCGGGCGAGGAACGACAGTGTCTTCCAAACCGCGCCCGCAAACGACGATTTGATGTTATGCCACTCCAACCGACTTCGAAGCGTCCGCTTGGGTTTTCGTACTTGCTCGCTTGTCTGTGTAGGTCTCCGTTCCTGTTCGTTCCTCTCCTCCTCGGTAAGAAGCGGTTGCTGCTCCTCGTCCCCCAGCTCGTCTTTCGGACGGCGTCGGAACATCGACCAAAATCCCGGAATCAAAAGCCAGCTCCACGACCTTTGCGGCCCACCAACCATTTCCAGATGTTCCTGCAGCTCCTCGATCGCGTTTAGATACAACATCAGATCTTCCGCAAAGTCCTGCAGCGACGAGCTGAAGTACCCACAGCTCGCCGCAATCTCTTCCAGGTCCGCAGCCATCTCGGTCGACGACGCGATCGAGAGTCCCTTATTATCATAGATCCGATCCAGCGCCTCCTTCCGCGCCTGCGCGAATAGGTCCATCGCATCCCGCAGACTGTCTTTGAAGTTATGGTCGATTTCGATCTCGTACGGCGGCGTGGTGCGGAAGGGAAGCTCGCGCAGGATCTCCTTCATGGTGAACGCGAGGGCCTTCATCGGCGGGCCGAGGTGGGCGATGAAGTAGGAGAAGATCTCAGGAGGGCCGGCGGGGACGGACAGCTCGGGGACGCGGCCATTACTGCCTTCGTGTGGCTCTTCGTCGATGACGGAGAGATCTCCGATAGATGAGAGGAGGGATGATGTCTCATTTCGGAAAGGAGATAGGAGTGGGGAGCCTATATCGGGCGATTTGTAGCCGGAATTATTGGTGAACTGATTGAGGAGAGCGAATTGGGTAGTGGTTGCTCCACGAAGACCACCTAGATCTTGGGCAAGTTGCTCGACACAGTTCATGAGTGTTACCATCAATTGATGCTCGGCCGCAGTTCCAAGGAGGTAGTGTTCGTAGGCTGAATCCTGGATGGTCGTGGTCATCTTGCTGAATGTCTTCTTGAACTGCGATGATGCAGCACCAAACGATGATTGCATCGTCGCCTCGTCTTCTCCGGACAGGAATGCCCTCGTGATCGTTCTCAACATATCTTCCAGCGAGTCGGTGGCCAAGACCAGTTGCTTACGCAATTCCGTCCGCGCGGAGCTCGGAGTGACCAACAAATTGATGGTGATTGACGCAGTGATGCCCATCAGCACCATTTTCAAAACCTGGAAAACCTTCTCGTAGGAGAACATCGCCGCTTGCACGGCGCCTTCTTTCGTCAGAACGGTGATAATCGCTAGCGACGTCAGCGAACAAGCGACGTTAACGAGCGGATTCCCCATCCTCTGTTTCAGCCAACCCACGAACCCCAATCCACCACCGCAGAAGATGATAAGGACCAGGACATGTCCGAGGACCATCATATCCCTGTTCCCGAAGAACGCGGACACCGCCATGCTAGAGAACGAGATCATCGCCGCGTACAGGAACGCGATGAACGCCAGCATCGTGGCCTGGATCATGCTCCCCACCGATCGCGCCGGGTGGAAGTACACCGTGACCGTCGCCGCGATATGCTTCCCGTCGTTCTTCCCCAGGATCGCCGCGATGGGCGGGACGAAAGTGGCCATGCTGCCGAGCAGATATGCTAGGGAGCATTTCAGGATCCCTTGGCCGAGGGGGGATACGCATATCGACCATGTGTTCAGCAGGATATCATTAATACGAGACCAGGTGGACGGTGAACCACCGGAACTGGTCGGTGTCGACCATGGATAACCGTTTTGTAACCCGGGTCCATCGTCAGGAGTCGGTTGAGGTGAAGGTGATTGAAGAGTAAAGACCCTTCTAACTCTTTCCCCCGTTCGAGGAAGGATCAAAGTAGCTTGACGGATCTGCAGGTCGTCAATAGGCTGTGGATGTAATTAAAGCAGTTCGCCGTCGGAATCCACGTACACTTGGTCGATGTATGCGTCGACGTTTGGGAGATCGACTCCCATTGGCAGAACGGTTCATGACTCTTCGGCGCAGGACGGAGCGAAGTTTATGCCTTGCCGGGCAGCTGGCAGATTTAATACCACATATCACCTCGATCAAGTGCTTGAAAGACGGGTTTGGCAGATGTGATTCAACGCAGCGATGTAGGCAACCTGCTAGGCCCCTTCAATCGCCAGCAGGAATCCGGGAATATCGGAAAAAAACAATTGGTACAGAATGATGAAGGAGTGGAAAGAAAACGTAAAATAGACAAATCAAATCTTCAAATCATATGTAGGAGATTCATATTCAAACTCTGGAATCAAGTTCAATCCCGCAACCTCCGCATGCAGATGCTGGAATGCATTGCAAGTCCATGCATGGTGGTCAGCCTGGGCATGGGTGATGTGTGATGTCGTTGTTGACTGCGATTCAATTGCGTGTTGCATTGCAGTTGGATAGGCCAGGCACCAAGGCCGCAACGTCTAACATCAAGGCGTCAAGGCGTCAAGGCGTCAAGGTATCAAGGCGTCAAGGCGTCAAGCCAAACGGCTTATTCGGCTAGCGCGCACCAGTCCACTCCGCCCACGATGAAATCTACCTCAACATCTCGAAGACTTCATCCATCACTCAGCACCCTGCAAACCGTCACCGCGTCCGAAATACAGGCAAGATGTAAGTTCCCCAACCAATTCCATCAACTATGGCCTCTCCAGCGAGATACCCAAGTCTCCGATGCCCCAAAAACCGAAGCCCACTCCCCTCTCGAAACGCGAACACCCGAAAATCGACTCTCCCCTCGCTTCAATGACCACACCGCTAACCCATCCTCCCCCACAGGACGAACCTTCGGACGCAGAAGCGCCTCGCCGCCACCGTCGTCGGCTGCGGCCAGCGCAAGATCTGGCTCGACCCCAACGAAGTCAGCGAGATCAGCAATGCCAACTCCCGCCAGACGATCCGCAAGCTGGTCGCCGACGGCCTCATCATCGAGAAGCCCGTCACCATGCACTCGCGGTCGCGCGCGAGGGCCCTGTCTGAGGCGAGGAGGATCGGTCGTCATCGAGGTTACGGAAAGAGGAAGGGTACTGCGGACGCGAGGATGCCCAGGTATGTCTTTCCCGATGAATATTGGGTTGTTGGAGGGGATGAAGTGGAGAAAGGATGGATGGCTAATGGTTGATCACAGTGCCGTTCTCTGGATGAGACGTCTCCGTGTCCTTCGTCGATTGCTCGTCAAGTACCGTGCCAGCGGGAAGATCGACAAGCACCTCTACCACGAGCTCTACCACCTGAGCAAGGGTAACACCTTCAAGCACAAGCGTGCCCTCGTGGAGCACGTAAGTCATCATCGTATCAATACTTTTATTCAACTTGCTCACCCACGATTAGATCCACAAGGCCAAGGCCGAGGCCCACCGTGAGCGACTCCTCAAGGAGGAGATGGACGCCAAGAGGGCGAAGACCAAGGCGGCCCGGGAGCGAAGACAGGAGAGGATCGTGGAGAAGAGGAATGCGCTGATGGCTGATGAACCGGAGGAGAAGTAAGGAGAGCAAAATTCGTCACGGTACTTCTTACGTAGATGCGGTCATTGAGCATAAGGCATGAGGCTTGCGTCTGGGACTCATAAATGGGTACATTCAATGGTGTTCACGTTGTCATTCTATCTGGAAAATTAAGGATTGCTCTTATCAATTTCGAATGATCATCAAGTGAATCTGACGCCATCTACTCCGTACATTGCAACATCTTGCCATGTCTGACATCTGCTAACCTTGCCTTGATGTGCCTTCCGCCCGCAGCAGGATAAGACATAATGAAAGAACTGCTGTTGGATGAATTGGATACCGGAATAGGCTCACTTACCATCGTTGATAACCATAGAACGATCTAACGAAAGTCGTCCGAAACCCGTCTTAGATACAGCAATGAAGCTCGAAATGGGCGTGGGTGAAAGGCGAGGCGAGGTCGCAGTTCGAGTCGTGGCAAGTATATATGTAGCAGGGCACCGGGCAGGGACGGATGTGAGCGAGGTGGGCGGCGCAGCGTGGGCGACGAATCGATGTTAACGTACGAAGTCACGAGGGAGGTCGATAGGGCGATAGGGCGAAGGGCGTGGAAAGAAGAAACTGAAAGCTTCACGATCGAATTCGGGCGAGGTAAGAATATCGGGGAACGGTGGATTGAAGTACGTAGGGAGGATATTCGATACCGCGAACATGTAGTAACCGAAAGAGCTCGAGCCGACTCGTTCGCCGTCGAACTGTGGATTAATCAATTTGTTAAAACCCGAAGTTGCAACCTGACTTGAATCAGGGTCTGCTCAAATTAAGGAAATGAAAACCCGTCCCATCGATCCCGAACTTTTGATCCCGTGGAGTTCCTGTGAACCCGTCCTTGAGCCATCGCTCCATCCATAAATAGGACTACGACAAGGCTAAAGGTGAGCAAGTCGGATTGGCAGAAACATTCCTGACTGAGACCACGCTGCGTCAACACACATTTACTCGGCTGTGTCGAGGTCATCGTGCGCGGGGGGTGGGGACTCAACAGCTTCATCGACTGTTAGCATTAGAGAGTCCGCAAAAGGTTCCGTCCAATACTCACGCTTCCTATCATCTCCGTTGACGCCATTCTCGCGCTCGTCCTCACGGTCACGGACATCCTTCATGTCACGGTCGCCATCGATGGGGCTTCGGGATCGGTCACGGTCGCGGCGCTCGTAGTCACGCTCACGTCGATCGTCCTTGCGAGGGGAGAAGTCACCACCACGGGGACGGCGAGGAGAGACGCTCCTGCCACCACGGCGGGGAGAGCGGTCACGGCGGGGAGGGCCACCGGAACGGTCTCCACGGTCTCCACCGGCGCCACGGTCTCCACCGGCGCCACGGTCTCCACGGTCGGCACCTTGACGGTCCCTTCCAGCTCCGGAATCGAATCGCCACGATGCGGAAGGAGGAGTGCGGGCCCACTGCCAACAATAAGCGCTTGCTAGTAAGACGGCATGGAGATGACTCACCTCGATCTTCAAGATATCGTCACGGCCGATGCGCTTGTTGTGCATCTCATGGTATGCGTCATCGGAATCGCGACGGTTCTCATACTCCACGAAAGCAAACCTAGCTGGGGATGAGTGGTTGAAGGCGGAAGGGACGACAGTGCCACTTACAGGCGGCTGGATGCAGATCGAGGAGCGGGGATGTCGCAGCGGACAAGACGTCCGTATCTTCGAGGGTTGTTAGAATCGAACCGGTCAATGTGCAATGGTGAGGTGCGTGGCGAGGGAACGACCAAGGGGTATACGGTCGTCAGCCGTACATCGGCGCGTCGACCAGGTGTGATGAGCGCGATACATGATGGGGTATCTCGATCGACCGAAGAGGACGTGGTATATGATATGATCGATCACCGCTGCGTGCTAAACGTACCGTTCGAATTCGTAGGCAAGATCGCGCGCGCGAGTCCCGTGGCCGAAGCCAGTGACATAGAGGGTGGTGCTGCCGCCGCCTGATCGAGACATGGCTGAGTGATGCGGGGTGTTTGAATCAAGTGAAATGGAAAGGTTAGTTTTAGATGGAGAAAAGGGTGATGGTGCAGAAAGAGTTCTGTGGTGACAAACAGAAGGTTGAGTCTTGGGAAGCTGGAAGGAGATTCGACTTTGATGATGCAAAGTTTTGGCTGCGCATGGCAAGGGGAAGGTTGGAAAGTCCTGAGGCAGAAAGAGGTCACGTGGAATGAGGTGAATCATTTCATTAGTCATAACCGTCATCACTGTCACGTGCCTTGATGCCTTCCCTTCACTTCAGTTTTTGCCTGATCCGGCATCTGATTCCATTCATTATCACCGATAGATCCAACATCTGCTGAAAGATATTCAGAACTCTCTTCTTCTGGTTATCACCCTCCTTTGTGTCTTCCCCTCTAACTTCCTGGCCCTCTACCCTCCTCCCGAAATCATTTGTTCCCTGCAAATCCTTTGGATCAGTACAATCGACCGTTGATTCATTCTCTGTGACGTCCCAACCAAGACGCGCCACTTCGAATCTGCAAGAACATTTGCCGGTGTACGGGCACTCGCAGGGTATCAAGCAACTCCGTCGATATGTCCATCGAAGTAGCGGTTGGATCTCCCCTTGCGGATGCGCTGCAGAATGCGGTTCAGCCAAAGCTGGTCGAAGTTGGATGGACGACCGATGGACTCGATGATTCCGCCCTTTCCGAATACATCATTCTCATGCTCGCGAACGGCAAGTCTCAGGATCAAATCGCATCAGAGCTATCGAACGATTTGCTAGGGCTTGGACCGGAAGACCAAGGCGCGATCGATTTCTCCCGGTGGTTGTTCGAGCAAGTCCACCAACTCAGCTTGCAATTATCGCAACCCAACGCACCGGAAGCGCAGGTCCCTCCGACGGCAGATGTTCAGCAATCAGAGGATCAGCAGCCGGCAGGCGAATCATCTGCTGATGCGATGATGATGGATGAAGGGAGTAGTATGCCAAACATGTATGTCCCCTCACCAAACCCATGCCACCTTTGCTAACCGTACAGACCTACCGGACCGAAAGCCATGCGCGAAGGGAACCAAAAATCCCGCGACAAGCGAATGCTGGGCCATTTAAACAAGGCCATGGATCGAACATCAGATGCTGCGCTGCATCGGGTACGGGGTAATGGCTCCGGCAGCCGCGTCAACTCACATTCTCGCGAGCCACCGAAAGGTCCACGAAACAGCAATATCCGAAACCCTCTCAACGCAAACCCACGGATGGGCCAGAGCGGTGTTCAGCTTCCAATGGCCGGCGGTACGAACTTCGCGGAGCAACTCAACACTGGTATGGGCATGTCGCCACACCAGCAGATGGAATTGTACTCCATGTTCGAACAACAGGCACGGATGATGCAGCAGCTAGCGCAGCAGGTCGGCAATCCTCCAGGTGGCAACCAATTCTCCGGAAGAGGGCGAGGCCGAGGGAAGAATCTCTTCGACCGAGTGGATCCAAAGCAACGACATGCGAACGGGAGACCCCAACATCGAGCTTCTCAGGATGTCTCGATGGGAGGCGACGCACAAGCCGATGGCACCACGCCCATGGACTCTGCACTGCCGCAGACGAGCCCCCGAGACCCGTCGCAGGTGATCTGCAAATTCAACCTGACATGCACGAAAGCCGACTGCATTTTCGCCCATCAGTCTCCTGCCGCCCCCCCTGGGACGACCATCGACCTCGGCGACGAATGCCCTCACGGTGCTGCCTGCACCAACCACAAGTGCGTCGGCCGTCACCCCTCTCCCGCCCGCCGCTCCACCTACCAGTCCGACCAAGAGTGCATCTTCTGGCCCCACTGCACCAAGCCCAACTGCCCCTTCAAACACCCCGACATGCCCCTCTGCCGCAACGGCGCCGACTGCACCACTCCCAACTGCAAGTTCACCCACAAGTCCGTCATGTGCCGGTTCAACCCCTGCCTGAACCCGCAGTGCGTCTACAAGCACGTCGACGGTCAGAAGAAGGCGACGTTCGGGGAGCATGTGTGGAAGGCCGGCGACGCGAAGAAGGAGCATGTCAGCGATCGAAAATTTGTGGCGGACGAGGGAGAGGAGGAGTTGATCATCCCGGCAGAGACGCAGCAGACGCCGGATACCGTCACGGAGGATACGATGACTTGATGAAGGATGGGCGGGATGCAAGGGGCCTGGTACCCTTCTGGCATAGAACCACAGGAGGATATGTCATGATATTGGGCTGGCAATGGATTGTGGGAATCGGGTTCTGCTTGTGCTCTTTCGGCATTCAAGCTAGGGGTCTCTCTGTACATTAGATATCGTGGGATTTTATGCCGGATGAATTGAAGGTAATGGCCTTGGTTAAGGCAGTTTCCCTTTGTTAATATCTGTCTCTCCGGATCATCGTGACCACCTGCCCTTCCATCGTGCTATTACCTATCTATCTGTGTCGCCATAATGCACTTGTTCAATAAATATATGTTTTAATGGTCTCCACAATCTCTTTCTATTTTCGAGCCTTAATTACTTCGGTTTCTCAACAGCTGGCGTGGTTCGGTTCACGGTTCCCTAACATCCGAAGAAACGCCGCTATGAATACCCATGTCCAAAATAGGCAGGAGGATAATTGAACGTCAACAAATGCTATGATCTAAAGAAATCAGCAGAGTCTGGCAAATAGGTATAGACGGCCATACCATCTGGCCATTATTGATGTATTAATGGTTCCGTAAAGATGTGGTCCCACAGCCGACATCTCTTCCACAAGAGATGTCTAGTACAACGTCCCTTGGTGAGACGCTTAACCACCAACAATGCGTTCTTCCAAATATCGGATGAAGTCCGCAATGCAGTGAAATCAGATCAGCCCGTCGTGGCATTGGAATCGACTATCTACACCCATGGTCGGTCATAGGTCCTCAACGGAGGAGCAGCGAGCTGATAATATCTTCCAGGCTATCCTTTTCCCGAGAACGTTGCGCTGGCAGAAGAGTTGGAATCTGTTGTCCGAGACAATGGCTGTAAGAAACAATGGGATGCCGCTGTGTTCAAGCAAAGGTTTTCTAACAGCTTTCTCAAGGCGTCCCTGCTACCATTGGTATCGTAGACGGAGTTGCGAAGGTCGGAATGACCGCTGGAGATATCAATATCTTAGGTTCGTCAGTCGGTGACCCTCGTACGCTGAAGCTGTCGAGGAGAGACCTGTCGTATGCATGCGGAATGGTAACCAATTCCTACTTCTAATCCCCTATTAACATCTTATCTCCAAATGATCGTCTCTCACACCGCCCTCTCCATTTAGCGTCTCGTGAACAAGTCATTCCACGGCGGCACCACCATCGCAAGCACCATGATCCTCGCGCACATGGCAGGCATCAAAGTCTTCGCCACCGGCGGTCTCGGCGGCGTCCATCGAGGCGCGGAAAATTCCATGGACATCTCCGCAGACCTCACCGAGCTGGGCCGCACACCCGTCGCGGTGGTCAGCAGCGGTAGCAAGAGCTTCTTGGATATCCCGAGGACCCTAGAATACCTCGAGACCGAGGGTGCTACGGTTGCTACTTTTGCGGACGGGAGGGCCGGGCCGGTGGAGTTCCCTGCGTTTTGGTCGAGGGATAGCGGCGTCAAGAGCCCGCTTACGATATATTCCGAGACGGAGGCTGCTGCTATAATTTGTGAGTGGCTACGAGTCAGTTTCAGTCCGAGTTCACCACTGATATTTGACAGATGCTCAATCATGCCTTGGGTTGAAGTCTGGCTTACTCTTCGCGAACCCGATTCCGGAGACGAGCGCGATACCAAAGTCGCAAATGGACCGAATTATCGAGAAGGCGATCGAGGAGGCGAATGCTGCTCATGCCTCAGGCAAGGACAACACCCCGTTTATCTTGTCAAAGATACGAGAGTTGTCCGGAGGGGCAAGTCTTCCTGCAAACCGCGCTTTGATTGTGTCCAATGTAAAACGTGGAAGCATCGTCGCAAGGGAATTGGCTCAACTCGAGCGGAGTGGTGGCATCAGCACCTCGAGGTGAGGAACTTTCATAGGATGAGATAATTTAAGATGAATTAAAGTTGACTGTACCCCTTCTTAGCGTTACTCTACCTTCGGCAGCCATTCCCAAGCTTCCCAGCTCAACTATTGAGCCTGTGACTCAAACGAGCCGCTCCGACCATCGAATATCCCCTGAACCAAAGCCAGCACCCCCTAGGGACATACTCGTCGCCGGTGCTCTAGCGATAGATTACTCTTGTGACTACGCCCCTTTTAACATTCCCAAGGACGGTGAAACAGACATCAGTCCTCACCTTCGAACTTCAAATCCCGCGCGGATCTCCCAGTCACTAGGTGGTGTCGCACACAACATCGCCTACGCTGCCCATCTCCTAGGATCCAGTGTTCGGCTCTGCTCTGCAGTAGGCGACGACTTACCTGGTCGAATGGCGGAAGACCATCTTAGACGAGAGAATATGGATTGTGCGCTGAATGTCCATCCCGGCGCGAGGAGCGCACAGTATATGGCGGTGAATGATGCTAATAAAGACTTATATGTCGCCATGGCTGATATGGCCATCCTTGAAACTGGGTCGCAGAGCTACAACGAAGCATCGAAGGAGTTTAAGGAGAAGTGGCTGCCCAAGTTGGACGCGACAAGACCAAAATGGTTGATCCTTGACGGGAACTGGCCGGCTCCAATGCTCCATCATTGGCTCTCAGCGGGCTCATCGAAAGGAGCGAAGATCGCCTTCGAACCGGTATCAGTTGCGAAGGCTGTTCGGCTCATAACTGCCCTGACGAAACCCCCCGCCAAGTCTGCATCTCCGTCGAACTCAGAGAGCCCATTACTCCCGTTCCTCCCAAACCCTAGCCTCCATTTAATCACGCCCAACGCCTCCGAACTCCATGCTCTCCATTCCGCAGCCACATCTTCCGGACTGTTCGAGGATGCGCAATGGTTCTCAGTACTCGATTCCTTCAATCTCCCATCAGTCGGATCCCAAGCTCGGCTAGGACGAGCTCTTGGACAAGCAGCAGAAGGCCTGATCTCGGAAGGAATCCCGCAGATGAGCATCCAAATGTTGCCGGTGTGTGAGACCATATTGACCACCCTTGGTCCCCGTGGAGTGTTACTGGCGACGACAATACCGGAAGGGGACCGACGACTGGATGACGAAGGGTTCGCGAAATATATCGTTGGACGGGTGCAGAATGGCCACGGTACCGGTGTAGGTGGGGTGTATATGAGACACTTTGCCCCATCTGAAGTCCTAGGACCTGAGGATCAGGTCAGTGTTAACGCTGCAGGAGATACTTTTACTGGCGCAGTTGTTGCAGGGCTGGTGGGTGGAAAGTCCATTGAAGATGCTATATACCTTGGATCACAAGCCGCGGCGCTGACTTTGAGGCATGTGGGAGGAGTTGGAGATTTAAAAACGCTTCGTTAGGCGATATATCCTTGAATGCAAACCGCGCTATATGCCGGATATCGTATGTTCGGCTTTCAAGCAATTGCTTAACATGTCATCTTCCTCAACGGCCCACTCCAACCTGGATTTTTCCATGTCATCTGCCTCCTCGATTGCCAGTCCATCCTTTTGAAGACAGCTAGATCCGGTGAAGAAAGAACATTTTCATCAAGCTGACCGCTTGCCTCCTTCTCATGAGCGACTCGTAGAGCGTGCAGTTCAAGCCCTCCCCGTATCCGTCCAATCCAGATGTCAACATCTGCACGGCTCTTCTTGAATGATTCTGTTGCCCAAATAGCACGAAGCGCTTCGCCTTTGTTCCCCAATTCAATTCCCCCCAGCTGTTCCTTAATATTAAAAAGTATATCGAGCGTCTCCTCGTTGGCGTCGATCCCTCCATGGGTCATCTCGTTCAGCAGATTCTCAACCCGCGAGAAGTCGGAGGAAACTGCCCAGGTAATTCGGATCGTCTCGTTGTAGAGCGCGGCGGATACGCCAAGAATGTACGACGATCGTCCAATCGATTTCATGTGCGGAAGAACAGTCATACTCAATAATGAAGTAGGAAACGTTTGTTTCAAAACCCGGACCGCGTGGAGGAGAAGATGAGGATAGGAATAACTCAGGGAGGGTGGGATAGCTTTGAAGACTTCTTGATTCGGACGTTTCTCGTCCATTGCATCCTCTTGCGACGCTTCTACAATCTTAGCCCTTCCCTTCGCCTTTTTCTTTTCTTTGGTCTTCGAGGTCTTCGTCTTGGACTTGTTTTTGGAGCTAGCTTCACCATCAAGATCTAGCTTCGCTATCGGTCCGAAGACTTGGGTTTCGAGAACCTGCCATAATTTGGCATCCGTCGATGCGGTTTCAAGCAGCTTTTGCACCCGCTCCACGTGCTTGACTTTCTCTTTAGCTAGATTCCGAACTTCCGATTCGGGTTCTGGAGCAGTCTCGACCTTGGAGTCTGTTGATTCCGCCGGTTTGAACGGAGTATTTTGCTCGCGCGGTAATGGAAGTTTCCCGGCTGCCTGGCGCGCCATCGGACGAAGCGACTCGGGGAATTGCTGGACAAATGCCTGGGAGCCTAACGCATCGGTCTGGCATGTGCTGACTTTTCCTGTCCCGCCCACCTGCGGCATCTTAAGCGTATTAGATACCGCATTTTTCTCTACCATTTGCTGGAATAGCTTTGCGAATATCTTCTCTTCTTTAGGTGTGATCGTTGCGGTGGATGGTGGAGATCGTATGTCGTCTTGCTCTGCATCGGTCTTTGGCGGTGATCGGTTCAACTCGCCTTGATCGTTGAATTTCCTCGCAGTTGAGCTCCTACCACTCCGTATTGGTGACTGCTCATCTCTGCTGAAGTTCTTTGAGTGGCCGTATTTGGGTGTTTGGGAACTCGAGGCACGAAAACGATGTCTCTGAATTGTTGGTGTTTGATATAGGAAGGGTGTAAGTGTAGCACCCGAGAAGAACCCTCTCGACCGGTGAAGGGATTGAGATTCTATTAGACTCTTCAATGACATCTCTTTTAATGATAACCACCAAGCCTGTGGGACATCTTTCGAAGTTGTTGAATCCAAATCTAAAAACTCAACTTCCAATGACGCGAAAATCAAGACGCGACGTCGCGACGTTCGCTGGTTAATATTCGGTATCGTCACTGATTGGTCAACCGGTCACTACCCAGAAGTTAAAGATCACCACGACAAAGTCGTATTTCCAACCTGGTCGAAAACATTCGAACGTTACCACCACAGCTAACTAGTTTGCTTTAGGCGTTAGTTAGCATATTTTCCTACAACTTAGCAGAGATTGCGGCAATAGTGCTCACGGACGCAAAGGTGATGAATACATGGCTCCTCTAGACACAACCCGAGGCACAGTATTCCTCGAGCGCCTATAGTTTTAATGTTAGATTCATTATTGAAAGACCAGAACGATCTCACTCAGTGACCCCACGCAACCTATTAAGTGGAAGTTTATTGCCTATCTCTTTCTTCAAGCTCATAAGTCAAAAGCATAGTTTGGGTCAATAAATAGCCAGGGAAAGGTTTCAAAAGCCTTGCGCTACTCTACGTGTAGGATGTTTGCGTTAGCCAGGTGGTATACTTTAGGACTATCAATTTCTTCCTCTAGACGCGATTTTTCATCAAAGTCAAGTGCGGTTTGCGAAGCGGTAAGAAACATCCCAGTGTCCTTCAAGTCTTTCAATTTCTCCATGCCCTTGAGATGGTCCCATTGGCGGGCTCGATTGAAACTTTCGTGGCATGTCTGGCTGAACTCCATCATCATCTCAAAGTCGTCGTACGACATCTACGAACAGTCTTTGCTCTTCATAGAAACACCTGCCAACCATGATATCTCTTAATACCAGGGACTGAATACGAATGGGCTCTGGCTCGAATCGGCAAATTATCAAGACAGAGCACGCATGGACGAAAGTCATCGTGGAAAGTGTGGACTACTTCATTGAATTTCGGACCCAAAATGTAGGCCAACAGCTATCTTTGCTGCCCTCCCGTTATTGCTCGTCAACTTAGGATAATATGCGTCTCTCCTCAGATACATTTCTTCTTCTTATACGTCAGACTGTCGATCATCAGCCCCGTATAGTTGCAGGTGCCGTCAATCTCGACGCTGGTGAAATCCAGCGACGTCAAGTCTTTCCATCCCCCACCAAAGTCGACCTTCAGCATCTTAAAGGGGGTCGGGTTCTCCAACTTCGGATAGATGATCTTTCGCTCAACATGCCCACCACGCTTCTTGATCCCACGCAGCTTGATATGACAGTCGTCCTGCGGAAATCCGCTGCTGCAAGCGACATATAGGGACTGGAGGTCAAAGCTTTCTCCAGGATTTTCCACTGATATGGTGCGAGGCTTAGTGCAGTCGAAGGAAATCGCATGGTTAGGCGGAGATACCTCAGCGATGAGATTCTCGTCGGTGTTCTGCAGCCGTGTCAGCAAAATGGAGCTGACGGCGACTCACGCATATAAAACTTGCCACATAGAACAAATCGTATGTCAGTCCTCGATAAGTCCCTACAGGTGTCGGTGGCAGCTCGGTGAAAGGCAAATCATCGTAATCCGCTGTCCACGGATTGGGCCAACCGATTGGAGCACATATCTCCCCCCCTTCGGCTTGCGGTGCAGCGAAGGCGAAAGAGACCAGAAGCAGCGTCAGGGCTGGTACGGAGAGCATAGTGACTTGTTGAGGATCCTCTTGAGGATATTCTGTCGTCCGATAATCTTGCTATAACAATGAAGGTGGAAAGACCTTGAGCTCCATTGTCTAGGTTTAGCTGATTTTATACCCTTGCATCTCTGCGTAGGCGACATGACTTCACTCTCCTTACTTACCTTTTGGAGTGAAGACATGTCAATATTCCCCAAGTTATACGGCATTCCAGCTATATATAGAACGGTATTGGAACGTCGTATTCTAGGACCATTCCGTTCTGTTTACTGATTGGATGGAAATTGAAGATCCGCAATTTGAAACTCCTGATCTGGATAGCCTTTGTGAATACGAGCTGAGGGAGACTGCAACATCGAGATCTCCTGACACTTGTGTCCGATAATAAGAACTGGTTGGATAGATATTTGTATAACATATCCACTTCCGTCATGCATTCCATTGCGGGAGCGAATGTCACGGATAACTTCCCAGGACCAGTCCTTGTCTCAACCCAAGACAATTAATTAACCAAGGCATCGAGGATGGTCATTTCTAAAATGATGTAAACCAAGCAAGGGATTTTCTTGTCATCGACGGTGCCATTGCATGCCAAGCATGAAGGCGAATCTGCCCAAGAGCCACACGATACGCAATGCCTACATCCCGACTGATCCGAATCACGTTGCACAGACGTACTCCGTGACTAGGAACATCGAGATTTTGCTATACTGTCGAGTCGAATATGTAGTTGCCAGTATGCCTCTCGCGATCTTCAAACGGTATACTGATTGGAGAAGAGGATGAACTCTGCGTCCACCGTTCTGCCGATGACTAAAGATTCAGTGTTTCGAGCCAGGAACACAGTAACCCATATTCCCATGCGAAATCCTCTTGGAAGGGGTCTTGTCCAGAGAGCAATCCGTGCGGATGAACTTTATTGCAGACCCATACCTTGATAGACGATAAACTTAGCTATCTCCGAGTCGTGTCGAAATCAGGAGCGCAATAAATCGATGTAACGTGCTCCATCTGGTCCGAGCCGCCTAAGTCTCGCCCAGGTACTTGATTTTATCTGACGTGAGATACTACATAGTCGATGTCTTTAATTGGTGCATTTAGGGTATCAATCATTCGGTTGGTCGAAACGGCATTCTTTGGAAGTCTCAATGTACACGTGATTGATAAGGGGCAAGTTGTCATTTACCTCGATAGTAATAACTCCAAATGTTTCGTAGGCCCGGCCATCCTTTCGCTCGTATTCCTGTCGACTGATACTTATAGGAACAACACCAATCCATGGGTGCGCGTAGTATAGCAATGCTTAATTATATGGTGTAGCATCTGAACTGAACCGTTCCATCCAATCCACAACCATGAACGAATGGTGTGGTGGTCAATTAATGCCATCGGGCAGTGTAACAGACATTGTGAGAGACTGATTGAGAAGGCATAAAAACAAGATAAATACAACGTACATATATGTCACAAGCAATAAACTCAAACGGCTTGGAGAAGAGAAAGTAGTTAAGAGACGCAAGTGGCTTGGGGGGTGGAATATGATGCCCCAGCTAAAAAACAAGAGCGAAGATAAACCTCTGGACGATAATAGACCAAGGATCTTGAATTGCACGTACACCATGCCCATGTTGTAAACTCGTCTTCACAACTATAAATTATAAGTGTCAACAGGGATCCATTGGATAGGTTGAAACGACATTCTCTCCAAAAACGCAGTGGTTATGCAGTCGAGTTATGGGCAGTATCAAAGACATCGCGGTGTCTTGGTGATATGTTGGATTGCAATTGTTGTGAGGAGACCCACGATGCAAGCGGATGCCAGCGGATGGAATAGTCGAGGACCACTCACCAGACACAATGATGGCCATTGTTTCTATCATTAATACATATGTTGATCATAATGTGTTGATCATAATGCGAAGGGCGAGCAACAGAACCCGAAACGCAACAGAAGGAGCAGTCAATTCGATGTTGGGAAATGTGGGTTCCCAAGTCATGTGACAACGCGTTTCTCATCGCCATCTTCAGTCCCTCGACGCGTCCCTCCAGACGCCCCAACTCCTCGTCCATCTCCATCCCGTCCCAGTTCATTCGCTCGCCACGCCGCCTGATCTGCCTCGACGCTGTCTTCCTGTCTTCCCGTAATCCCTTTTGGACAATTGCATGGTCTCTCCACAATCATGTACGTTGACTCTTCAATAATGGGAAATTTACTGTTGCTGATTATCGACACAGGCATCGGCCGAAGGCGGTTGTCATCCCTCGCCTCGATCAAGAGAACATCCCCCCGGGACAGCTAGCCAAACCTATCAAATCCCAACGTCTATATGGAGGCTCCTCGCAAAGCCTTGACCGTCTCGTCAAACCCTTCAAATGTCCTGGCTCTGCAACGGTAAGCCGAACTTCCGTAAAGCCGGCCAGGAAGCGGCGCAAGATCGACTACACGGAAGATGGCGGCGATGTACCGGATTCCGATTCGGCATATAGTGAGAATTTGGCCAAGCTTCAGGCACGGTTGGAAGGCAACAAGTTTCCCGTCTTCAAAGTGAAAGACAAGGACACCACGTTCCGAGCAAGATTCAGCGTCCCGCTTTTGAACAAAGACACTGGAGGATGGAATCCACAGCGAGGAGCACCTCTTCTTGGGATGAGGCAAGGCAGAGTCTTCGTTGCTCGACCGCTACATGATCCGAGTGGTGAATTCTCGATCGTTCTCTTCGATCCGACAGTCGACGGGAAACCGGAACCCAAGAAGATCGAGGAGAAGGAAGAGGAAGAAAAGGACCAGATCAAGGTGGACGCTCCCCTCGTGCATAAGAGCTTAGCGGAAATATTGGGGTTGAAGAAGACGGTGGAAGAGCATCCTCAAGTTCCGGTTGTTATTGACCCACGTTTGGCAAAAGTTTTGAGACCACATCAAGTGGAAGGAGTAAAGGTAAATTTCTCTCAATGTTGGATGAAAGTCTACTAACGTGCCCTAGTTCCTTTACTCATGTGTCACTGGCATGGTCGATGAAAATGCACATGGCTGCATCATGGCTGACGAGATGGGGCTGGGGAAGACGGTAAGCATGTGCGCTTAAGAGAGTGGCAATCGTGTTAATTCGGACTAGTTGCAATGCATCACCCTCTTATGGACCCTCCTCAAGCAGTCACCAGATGCAGGAAAGCCAACCATAGAGAAATGCGTGATTGCCTGTCCATCAAGCCTGGTCAAGAACTGGGCAAACGAGCTGGTGAAATGGCTCGGGAAAGATGCGATCCATCCGTTCGCCATTGATGGAAAACTTCCAAAAGAGGAATTAATCCAGCAGCTACGTCAGTGGTCCATTGCCACTGGACGAGCAGTCATCCGCCCCGTTATCATTGTCTCATATGAGACGCTACGACTATATGCCGAGGAACTCAAGAGCACACCCATTGGCCTTCTTCTCTGCGATGAAGGTCATCGACTCAAAAATGACGAGAGCCGGACGTTTACTGCCCTGACCGGTCTGAATGTCCAGCGCCGAGTCATTCTCTCCGGGACGCCGATTCAAAACGATTTATCCGAATATTTTGCACTCCTCAACTTCGCTAATCCTAACTATCTCGGAACGAGAATGGAGTTTCGCAAGAAGTTCGAGATCCCCATTCTCCGCGGTCGCGATGCTGATGGCACGGAAGTCGACCGAGAGAAAGGAGATCAGGCCACTTCAGAGCTTCTCGGGTTGGTAAACAAGTTCATCATCCGGCGAACCAACGACATTCTCAGCAAGTATCTACCGGTGAAGTATGAACATGTCGTCTTCTGTAACCTAGCGCCATTCCAAAAGGATCTCTATAACCTCTTCATCCAATCGCCCGAGATCAAGAGTTTGCTCCGTGGAAAGGGGAGCCAGCCGCTCGTTGCTATTGGGCTTCTCAAGAAGCTGTGCAATCATCCGGATCTGCTAGCCTTACCGCACGATCTCCCCGGATCGGAAGACACCTTCCCAGAAGACTTTGTTCCAAAAGATTCCCGCGGTCGGGACAGGGATGTAAAGTCGTGGTATTCTGGGAAGATGGTGGTTCTCGACCGGTGAGTATGCAATCCCTTGAACTGCGGATATAGACTGACTGTTATAGAATGCTGGCAAGAATCCGACAGGATACGAACGATAAGATCGTGCTGATTTCCAATTACTCCAAGACCCTGGATATATTCGAGAGGCTTTGCCGATCTCGAGGCTACGGCTCCTTCCGTCTCGATGGTAGCATGAACGTCAGCAAGCGACAGAAGCTCGTAGACAGATTCAACGATCCCGAAGGCGAAGAATTCGTCTTCCTGCTCTCCAGCAAAGCCGGTGGATGCGGCCTCAATCTCATCGGAGCCAACCGCCTCATCCTCTTCGATCCCGACTGGAATCCCGCGGCCGATCAGCAGGCATTGGCTCGCGTGTGGCGCGACGGGCAGAAGAAAGACTGCTTCGTCTACCGCTTCATCGCGACGGGGACGATTGAAGAGAAGATTTTCCAGCGGCAATCGCACAAGCAAGCGCTCTCCACCTGCGTCGTGGACTCCGGGGAGGACGTGGAGCGACATTTCAGTTTAGGTTCGCTTCGTGAGCTGTTCCAGTATCAGCCGCACACGACGAGCGATACGCATGACACGTTCAAGTGTAAGCGATGCAACAAGGATGGTCAGCAGCATATCAAGTCGCAGGCGATGCTCTACGGTGACACCAGTACTTGGAATCACTTCGTGAATAGCGGGCAGAGCGGGCCGCTGGGAAAGATCCAGGACCTTCTGCTTCGTCAAGAGACGGAGCAAGGGGACGTCAGTGCGGTGTTCCAATATATCAGCCACTAATGATTACTCGAGGGGAATGAGGGGATGACTTCAGATTGTTAGCATTTGGTTAGGCGCATTGGTTAGGCGCATTGTATAGACAGCGACACGCTAATCCAATTCATCCTCGTCCAACGAACTCTCTGTCTCTGTTTCGGCCGCTTTCTTCCTCCCCCTCCCTGTCCCAGCTGACTTCTTCGCCGCCTTATCGTCCCTTCGTCGAACCTGGTCTTCCACCCTATCCCTCTCGGCCGCCCCCTCCGCAGCCAACCGCGTCTCCATCTCTTCAAACTCCCGACTCTCCACATCCATCCCCCGCAGCTGTTCCAGCAACTTGATCTCCCGTGCCCAGATCCCTTTATCCTCCACCGCCTTCGCCTTCTTCACCGGACCCTTCTTCTTCCCACTCTCCGCTTCCCCACCACCCACCAGCTCCGCCTTCACTGGCACGTCAATCGGCGTCTCCAACACCAACGGCAGCCCATGAAACCGCCCATCATTCACCAAGTTCCAAAACGCCCGCAGCCCCAGAAACCCTGTCCCGATATTCGCGTGCAAATCCCGCGCGCTCCCCAGCGGCGCCTTCGAGTCGTTGATATGCGCGGCCTTCAGGTACTCCTTCCCAACAATCGTATCGAACCGCTTCATCGTCGATTGATACGCATCTGGCGTGCGGACATCGTAGCCTGCGGCGAAGATGTGGCAGGTATCCAAACACACCCCCACTCTCTCCTTCTTCTCAATCAGCGCGATAATATCGCGTAGATCCTCGAACGTGCTCCCGAGGGTATTCTTCCCGCCCGCCATCGTCTCCAGTAGCGTAATGACGTCCCCTGTGGCCGGGTCCTGATGCGCCCTGTTCATCTGCGCCGCCAGATGGCGAATCGCGCTCGCCCGATCCGGTGCGCCGGCACTGTTTCCCGGATGGAAGTTATACAGCCGAATCCCTAGCTTCTCGCACCGCGACAGATCATCTACGAAGCTCTCATACGCCTGCTTCGTCCGAGCGGGGTCCGGGTGCGCGAGATTAACGAGATACGAGCCGTGCGGGACGATGTGCACCCCCGCGTCGTATTTATGGTGTGAGCATGCGGAGGTGAAGAGGGGTGGGATGGTAGGATCGAGGGGCGGGTTCGCCCATTTGCGTTGGGATTTGAGGAAGAGGGCGAAGCTGTTGGCGCCGACGTGAAGGGCGTTGGGGATGGAGTTGTGGACGCCTGGAGGATTAGCGAGAGAGGGGAGAGGAGGGATGGGACTTACCGCCGGCACCGCTCACATGGGCACCTATAAGAAGTTGACTGCCGATGGTTCGGGCGGCGAGGGGGGGCATTTCTTCTTCCTTTTGCTTCTTGGTCTTCCGCTTGGGCTTCGTGATGGGTTGTACTTCCTCGTCGACGATCGCTTCCTGATCTTGAACAACGGGTGTCTTCTTCGCCCTTGATGACCGCTTCTTCACATTCGCTTCCTTAGTTATATCGGCTTCCGCTACTACCGGAGTCTCTTGCTTGATGCTTGTTCTGGAGCGATGTAGAGTTCTAGTGGATTTTTCGGGAACAACACTCGTCTTCTTGACATCTATATCCACTACGGCCGCAGCTTTCGTGCGTTTGGAGCTTCGAGATGGAGGTTCTGCTCCAACCTTGCGCTTCCGGCTCTGCGACGAGTGTTTCGTCTCGATTTCTTCAGACGCGACGGAGGTTATGGACTCGGGCTCAGGGGCATCAGCGGACATGGAGGAGAGAGATGAAGATGAGGAACGAGGCATGGTGGATGTTCAAGCCATTGGTATTGTGATGGGACTTGACAGAAATTACGGACTGTCCTGAAAGGTTTTAATGTACGAATTGGTTCCTGAAGTTAGTATCACTAAGTTCGATGCAATGATGGACTCTGGTATCGCGAAGTCGCGTATATAAACCAGACAGGGATTGTCATCTGTTATCGATAAGCGGCCCACCTTCGACATTTGAATTTTTGGAGACTCCCGCAACTCTGCCCCCGAAACCTTGATATACCCCATTCTTGCGCATTCGACTACGATTAACCTACTCACGGTCATTCATATCATTCAGTATGGCAAAAACAAAAAAGAAGTCCGGCTCGGGTTTGGGCCCAGCCTTCGGTGGCGTCTCCAAGTCCACCAAACCCCCCAAGGCATCCCACAGCATCTTCAAGATGAACACAGATATCGGCCAGCATATCCTCAAAAACCCCGGTATCGCGCAAGCGATTGTCGATAAATCAGACCTCAAACAAAGCGATGTATGTTCTCCTCTTGTTCATCTCCTATATACACCCCCTAACACCTCCAGGTCGTCCTCGAAATTGGTCCCGGCTCCGGAAACCTCTCCCTCCCCATCCTCGCCCGCTGCGCCCGCCTCACCGCCATCGAACTTGACCCCCGCATGGCCGCCGAACTCACCAAGCGCGTCCAAGGTACCCCCTACGCCGCCAAACTCACCCTCCTCCTCGGCGACGTCATCAAACGCCCCGCCCTCCCCTACTCCGACGTCATCATTTCCAACACCCCTTACCAGATCTCTTCGCCGCTGGTCTTTAAGATCCTCGGCATGGACGCGCCGCCGCGGTGCGCGGTGCTCATGTTCCAGAGGGAGTTCGCGCAGCGCTTGTTTGCGAACCCGGGGGATAAGCTGTACAGTCGGCTGAGTGCAAACGTGCAGATGTGGGCGCATGTGCAGAATGTGATGAAAGTAGGGAAAAATAACTTCAGCCCGCCGCCGATGGTGGAAAGCAGCGTGGTGCGAATCGTGCCGAAGCGGCCGCGGCCGCAGATTAGCTACGAAGAGTGGGATGGGATGTTGAGGGTGTGCTTCTCGCGGAAGAACAAGACGCTGCGGGCGGCATTCGCGGTGGAAGGCGTGGTTGCGGGTCTAGTGGAGAATTGGAGGACGTGGTGCGCGGTGAATGGGATGCCGGTGGAAGACGATGAGGGAGATGTGGCGATGGGGGCGGATGCTGGGTTCGCACCTGGGATAAGCGAAGGGGGTGTTAGCACGGCGCAGGAAGATGAATGGCATGGATTTGCGGAGGAGGCGAATGGGGACGATATGGATGTCGATGGCGTCGATAAGGAGGTGGATGATGAGTTGCCCGCGTTCATGGCCCGGCAATTGACGGGGAAGTCCGCGACGAGGGATCGGAAAAAGCAGAAAAAGACGAAGTTGTGGGCGAAGGTGAAGGAGAAGATAAGGAAGGTTTTGGAGGACGATACGGAGTTGGCAGAGAAGCGAGCGAGGACTTGCGATCAGGGGGAGTTTCTTAAGCTTCTGTATGCCTTCAATCAGGAGGGCATACATTTCAATTAAGCTCCTCCCAGAGCCCTGGTCGAAGATACCCTTTTCATGAAAGTTGACAATACAGCTGCCTTCGATTCGTGGGTATACCTGTCTGAATGCACTCTCTACTATGATGTATCATTATGTCCAAATTCCGACACTATCCTGTCCATGCCGGTCGTTTCTCATAAATCCTGCCCCCTATCTCTCCGCCATGGAGAATGTTAAGAAAGCATGAACCAACCTGCCAGCGACCAGAGTACCATTATCAATACCATCAAAAACCATGCGCCACCCTTATCTGCACTCGTCATCGGCCTAGTAAGCAAATTCGAAGTGCTTCCACCTCCTCCCCCGCTTCCACCGGATCCGGCCCCTGGATCTCCGGTACTGTTACCCCCCGTGTTTGCCGTGAACGGCGCACGCGTGCTGTCTATCAACAGATTCTGAATCACACTCAGGGCGCTCATTTGCTCGCCCACACCATTGAGCCCGTCGAAGACTTTCTCGTACCATTTGCGACCACACCACTCGCCCTGTGGGCCGCCGGTACATTGGCCCGCGGCCCCCTGCGCGGACGTTTCCATCAACGGCCTGATGCGGTCTCGAGTGAAAGGGGCGAGTTGGCTCGCGATCGCGAGCCAGCGGGAGAAATACGCTTTGAAGGAGGGTTGGTCGACGTTGCATGTCTCGGCTGGTTCGCAAGCCATTTCGACGAGGATCTTGCCGCCGTATTCTTCGGGATACATGACTTCGACGGCGTCGAGGAGTTTGGTCAGGTGGTTTCCCCAGACGTCGGAGCCGTTGGTGAAATTATACAACTGTCTCGCATGTTAGCTCGCCCGGGGATGTAGAAGGGAATATAGAACGCACATATGCACTCCCGGCAATCAGATTACCGTAATTATACGTCCATTCCAAAATGGTTGGATTGGTACAATTGTCCTCGACATCGCCGCCATCGTACACCCGATACTCATCATCGATCATTTTGATATCCAGTAGCCAATCGAATGCCTTCTCCGCCAATTCCGCATATGTCTGGTTCCCCGTGTAGCGCGCCAGCCGCGCACCCATCTGAAAGAAACAGCTGTTCGATATCGTGTTCTTGTAGTTGTATCCGTTGTTCCATGTGAAGATCTGCCAGCGGAGACCGCCTCCGCAATGCTGGGTGTCCCATCTCGACGCCTGCTGGTTGAAGACTGATTGAGCGAGTGCGAGCCAGGATGGCTTGTCTGGTGGTGGGTTGGGGTAGTTATATTCGGCTGCATCGAGGACCGCGAAGGCCCAGAAGGCTTGGTCGTCGTTACCTTCGGTACGGGATTGATTGGAGGGTAGGTAATCATTGTCGCCAATTTGATGCAGCAGTGCTTCGGTCGTGATATTGTTATAAGTGGTGTCCCCGGTTAGAGACCAGTATTCGACCAGAGTCATAAACATTGCGCCCGCTTCCCACCAAAAGTATGGGTCGGGAAGAAGGCCGGGAATCATGCCTGTTGCATTGCCAGTGTAGAATCGTACGAGTCCGCGGGCAAGGCTGCTTGCGGCTTTCTTGATGCTAGCTGCTTGACGTGAGCAGCTGTCCAGTTTCCTGATCGTGGAGTCTACCGCAGGGAAGACCACTTACCATCATTGCCAATCTCGATATCGATCGACAGTCCATATTGGCAGAAAAGCAGCAGTGATAACACCGTTCTCCAGACACCGTTTGACCACATCCCATCTATTAAACGAGTGAAGGTTTTGATTGAACGAAAGTAATCGATCTCCTCTTTCCACCACTTCTCATCTTCTCCTGCTGATCAATGACGTCCACATGTGACTAAGGCAGCTGCGGCGGGGATGGGAAGCTTCGGTTTCCTAAACAGCTACTGGGCTTCGCGGAACATGGTGACAGCAGATGACGAAAAAGAAGGAAGACGTGGAAAACGAAGGACTCAACAAACCCAGCAATTAAGCACAGTAAGTAAGCATTGGTAGATAGGATAATTAATAATAATGAGCGAAAGCCATCCTTGAAGTGCTCGAGCGGTGCGATTCGAGGGAAGGCGACGTCACACTGGGGTCCTTTGGTGGGATCCAAGACCCGAGTGGATTAAGAATCCTAAGCTTCTCTTGCAAGTCGCACCGTCACCGCAGTACCCGTGTGCTAGAATTTCATCCGACAGGCACCAGGTGGAGGATGTGCACCACCACATCCATTATTGTTCCGTGCCGCCGTCAGTAGCATGGTGGTGTGTACCTGTACATAGCCCTGCTCGACCAATGTTCGATTAATCTAGTGTGATTTGACGGCCAATAGACCACTCTGTTTTCCCGCATGGAGATGGAAAGGGATCATTCAGCCCATGCTGACCTGTCCATGCTACGTCCTCGGTTGAACGGGCGATCCGCACGGAATAGTGCTCACCTTGCTTGACATGGAAGAGCTATTCTATTCTAGAGCCTGCATGTGAATGATGATGGGATGGGTGCCCCCAACTTCGTCAAAATGGCGGGTCGGAAGCGTTGACAAGCATCGGGTCAAGGTACGCTAAGCGATAAATAAACGGACGACTCTAGTTCCCGTCGAAGAGTATCCATGTGATAAAGAGGCTTAGAGAATCCAAAGAACAACGCAAAGTTGCAGAGCCTTTAGTGAGGGGAGCAAGGCCCGGCTAGATACACCAAGCATGTGCTGGCTGTCTGGTCTCGCGTCTCTACTCCTCCTGGAGAGTCACTCGGGAGTCCAGACGCATTATGGATGCGACCTGAGCCACTGAGGGTCAGAGGGAAGCGTCTCAGGAACGCTCAATGATTTTTCCGAAGGTCAGAGGAAATGTTCCGAGGCTGGAAACCTTGGAAGCAATAATTCCTTCGCGGTCGGATTTCGTTCCGCCGCGGAGTTGAATGGTTTGAATTACATAATCACCAGCATCTTTCATGAATCATGACCTAACCAAGTTTCCTCTCATACATTCCATTCCATAAGAATATTACAGTTTTTCTTGTCCCTCTTGCATTGGATTGATTCGATCAGATACTGAATATCGTGAGATGTTTCAAATCGCCCAATGACGACAATGTACCCGTCCTGACTGCGCATTAGGCAACGTCAGAGAGCGAAGCCACTTGCGAGAACGGCATCCAAAAACGATTTTATGCACGGGGTAACGTAGTGTCCATCTATAGATCTTCATTGCCTGTTTAAGGAATGGTGAGGCTTTAGATTCTGAGGTCTACGATCTTTCTGGCAATGGGTGTTAGCCGCTTCTCCTTGATGACATCGGGTAGAGTGGCGTCTTCATCCTGCCCGGGGTGAATATCAGCCCGATCTGGAGCCTACAGTTCATCCCTTGCGCTGATGCACAATGCTTTTTCTTTTGCGCGCATCCTCTTGTATTATTTATATCGGTCTCTATTATTTTTAGTCTATCATCGCCTCTTGTCATTTCATTCACCCGTCTATGACAACTTCAATTCTTCGTCTCATATTTCTTAGGTCTGGAAGAGGACGATGGCCCAAAACACCACCAAAACTCCTTTGAAGCAGATAGTGATCCTCGGAGGATCCTATGGTGGCATTTCCACTGCGCACTACCTCCTCAAACATGTCGTCCCCCGCTTACCCGAGAATGAAGCGTGCCAGGTCACCCTTATCGGTGCATCGTCGCAGGCCATGTGTAGACCCGCCTGCCCTCGAGCACTCATATCAGACGATATGTTCCCGCAAAACAGACTATTCGTTGGCATCGCGGAGTTATTCAAGCAGTACCCGAAAGGCAGTTTCCGCTTCGTTCAGGGAACAGCCATGCATCTAGACGATACAAACCGAACCGTGGCCGTCACACTTTCAGACGGCGGCCCCAAGATCTTCGTTTTCCACGCTCTCGTTATCGCTACCGGGGCATCTACGAATTCTCCGCTACTCGGACTCCACGGTGATGCTGGCTCCCTACGAGCCAGCTGGGCAGAGTTCCGCGACGCTCTCCCAGCTGCAAAGAGCATCGTCGTAGTAGGCGGAGGCCCCACAGGTGTGGAAACCGCAGCTGAATTGGGCGAATATCTGAACGGTCGGGCGGGTCTATTCAGTTCGAAGTTAGCGAACCCCACGGTGCGCATCACTCTTGTCACTTCTGGTCCACGCATACTTTGGTACCTTCCGCCCTCCACCGCAGAAACTGCGGAGAAATACCTCGCCGCAGTCGGCGTGAATGTCATCAAGAACGCTTGGGTCACGGCCATAGAGCCTTCAGACGCCGGGGCCGTCAAAGTCTCGGCGAAGGCGAAGCTAGCCCTTGACGATGGGACGACCCTTGACGCCGACCTTTATATTCCCGCGACTGGTACGACACCGAACACTAGCTTCGTCCAAAAATCCCTCCAAACCCAAGACGGCCGCGTCAACACCAACCCCTCCACCCTCCGCATCGACAAATCCGGTCCCCGCATCTATGCCATCGGCGATGCATCCTCCGCTGCGCGCCCTGCCATCCATCTCATCTTCCCTGCCGTCCCTGTCCTCTGCGCCAACATCAAGCGAGACCTTCTCCTCGCCGCTGGCGTGGACGAGAGCTCCATCGGTGAAGATAGGATATTCAAGGAGGATACTCGCGAGACGCAGCTGGTGCCGGTTGGCAGGAGCAAGGGGGTAGGGGCGGCAATGGGGTATCGGTTGCTTAGCTTTTTGGTGTGGGCGATCAAAGGACGGGACTACTGGCTCTGGACGACTGGAGCACTTTGGAGTGGAAGACAGTGGGCGAAAGAATCGTGATTCCGAAGTATCGAAGCCATCCGGGATGGGTGGTATTGAAGGTCCCCGATATAGATCTAGTTGTTTGAATAGCTTATCCCTTCGTTATGTTTAGTATTCCCTTACCTCAAGACAGAGAGGCGTCATGCACTCCGTATATAAATTCTATCAAATCACCTACTCAACCCGTCAGCGGCTTTATTATCTGATGCAGGCGAAGGTTGCACTGTCGCAAGATCAGCCTTCAGTTTCGTATTCTTGCAGACACTCCTACTATGTACTCGAAAGAGGCACGACCAGGAGGGTGATCAAAGACATGACTCAGTTAATTTAGTGCAATGAAGCAGGATTCATCAATTTATATGGATTCAGCCTGTAGATCTTTTCTAGACACTTGCATACAATGCAGCACGAGCGGTTATGACTACCGCTCCGAACCACATTCCCCGAAGAATCAGGAAGTTTCAACTTCTGAACTGTGCCACCCAGGCGCAACAGATTCAGCCATTCGTGTACAAAGGAGCACCTGTCTGGTGTAAATGCGTTGATACGCATGAACAGATTCATGGAGGTCCAGGACCTCCGCAAGCTGGCCCGACGAGATAGTAGTTATCTCTAGTAAAGCGAGAAGGACCACGCATTGGTATTCAGTCAGATCCACGTCTTTTCCACCGTTAAATCCCGCCCATTTGATAAAAGGACTGTTCTTCTCGAGAGGGAGAGACTTTGTTTTGAGCTTCTCGTCGGTTGTGATGCGGGCGTTCCGGAAGTTTCGTGTGATGACTGCTTAAGCATATTTTTGTGTATATCAATTGATCCAGTGGTTGTATTATAAAGATTAATGGAAATTGCTTAAGAAGATAGTGTACTTTAAGAATGAGGAAGAAGAAAAGGAACCTGACTAACTGATCTGTGGGAATGACGATGTAATGATATATCAGGGGTTTCCGATATACTTCTACTTCTACTTTAGCGACTCTTCTTCTTTCTTTCTACATCTTGACCCACCTAGCCCACTAGCCCAGAACGCCTCGAACCTGGTCATAACCGGTATCTCCTATTCCAGAGAACTCTAACATGTTCCGATGGACTGATGGAGACCACAGGCCGAACAAGCCTTGTGGCAGAATATATTCATAGCTGGAATAAGTTCAACCCCTGTCAAGTAGCCAACCACCCAAGTAGCCAACCGTTTAAGTAGCCAACATCAGCATCTCTTATCACCATCATTCCAACCGCGATATCTCCACCAAAACATTTTTTGGGAAATGTATACAACAGGATTCAAATAACCTTACTTGGAGAGTCTGACGTAAATTGGGCTTTTGAAATAGAATGTTTTCATTGGCAATAATCATCCTCTACCGCTCGTAGAGCTTCTTGCGCCCGTTTGGTCTCCCGAACTTGCACAAACCTCTGATTAAGATCTATTTGAACTTTCTTTTTGCGTTTTGGTGCTGCAGCAGCATCAAGGGGTGCCTATATCCATAAGCTCGCGATTTTCAGATTTGGTAATGCCTGACGCGCCTGTGTAGCACTCCATTACCAACGAAAACATCCTATTTCAGAAGCCCAATCTACGTCAGAGACTCTCCAAGGAAGGTTATTTGAATCCTGTTGTATACATTTCCAAAAAAAAGTTTTGGTGGAGATATCGCGGTTGGAATGATGGTGATAAGAGATGCTGATGTTGGCTACTTAAGTGGTTGGCTACTTGACAGGGAGTTGAACTACATGTATACTAGTAGAGTTCTTACTACGGAGGACCCCCTTGCTCAAAAGTACCTGCTCACTCCAAGACCCCAGAATCAAACTATTCCTAATTAGGATACACATACTGATTAATGGCTAAGTCCTTCACATTCACATTATCTCAGTCCTTTCTCGTATGGTCTCTCCCTTTCTTGTAACTACTCGTTCCCTTATTCTAACTCGATTATCTGTTGAATATGTCGTGGAATCCGCTGAATACAAGCCTGTATCTTCTCCTGCGGGAGTCCTCCCCAGCAAGCTTCCCAGGCTTTGACAGCTTGATGCCAATTCTTTGGAGCACCCTTTCATTGTCGTCACTCTCTTCATGTATGGCCGACATGGCTCGATATCGTTTAGATCCGGGGAATTGCCGCACCAAAGAAGTCGCTGTACTCCGTACAAACTGTATACTCGTTGCTGTGCATGATGGGCGTGCGATGGAGCTTTATCCTCTTGAAAAATCGTGCCTGGCCGATCCTTCCGACATTCCCTTACGAAAGGAAATAGCTTCGGATTTAGTATCTCTGTCTGATATCGATACCAGTCGATTCCTTCTCCTTTCCGTCGAACTAGTTTCCATGTCTTCTCCGTCCATTTCCAGATTGGCTTTCTTCCAGAGGGATTCCGGAGTCCCATCCTCCTCATACCGGTCTCAAGTTCCCACTGCTCTCGACGAATAGGTTCAAGCAAGTCATTTATCTCTTCTAATATCTTTCCGTGTCGATCTTCTCCTGTTTCGTTTCCGGCATCCAGCAATGGTAAGGGCCTTTCTTATCATACGTAAAGCAAGCCCAGAATATAAATTCTGTATATCCTTTCCAACGCTCCTGGATACAGGTCTTTGCAAGCACCTCATCTTTCGTCCTCCATACTCGATAACTAACCTCTACGGTGGACTAATACGATAGCCGTCTCGTTACTCCAAATAACGTTTTTCCAATCTTCCAGTGTACGATACTCGTGCTCTTTCGCAAACTTCAACCGTTTAGCTTTCATCTTCTTCGTCAATCCAGGCTTCCTCGTCGGCTTCGTCTTGATGAAGCCGGCCTTCTTGAGCGCTCTCCAGATGGTAGACTCGAAGACAATCTAACTGTCTCTACAAAGCTCGCCCGCGATATCAGCGCAAGTCTTCTTCCTCCCATATTGATCCTGACGCACTTTGGCAAGAACAGTATTCGATAGCTCCTCCGTCTGTTTTTTGGGCCGGCCGGGACGGGGTGCATCTTCTAGCCACTCATCTCTAATATGCAGAGGCAGATGATTAGGTTCAAATCCCCGCTCTATTGCACGGGCATAAATAGCATTAATTGTACGTTTTGGAAGACCCGTTTTTTCAGCGATTTCAGCGGTTGTTTTCCCCACAATAGGTGACTTAAGAGTAACAATAAGAGCTCGTGTTGCGATGTCAGTATTTGGAGCCATTTCTTAATGTGCAAAAGACTTCATAAGATTGAAAATCGGAGCGATGAATGACAGATTCGATGTATTTAGGATTCCTCGGCTGGTATTGTGGGACTGCCAATAGAGTGGCGTATTTAGCGTGGGCAAGAACTTCTGAAGGGGACTTTCCGTTATCACCTTTGTGGTATGTAGGCACTCTTCGTCAATCCATGCCATACGGACACTGGCACTTCTGGCAAAATCCACGGCTTTCAATAGTTTCATCGGGAGCTCTGTTTGGCCGTTCAGCAAAGGAACCGTTTTCCTCGACCACGCGGATTCGATAGGACCCAGTGTGGGAGAGAGAGTCGAAGTTCCCTGAGCGTTAACTCTGCCAGCAGTTGCTGATGGCGACCAAGGGTTGTAAACCTCAACCTAGTTCTGCTAGATTGCTTTGCCGGCATCTAAGGATCGTAGACTTCAGCGACAGCTGGCGCATGAGAGCTTCTGATGTTGGGGTATGTCTCTGCTTTGACTCTGCTGTTCTAACCCGATCGACTGTCGAGACTCATTATTCACCATAAGTAGTCTGTGGGTCCGGACGAGCACGTTGCAAATTGCCGTGGTCGTCAGGGAACGCCGAGGCAACCAGACGGCTGAGAATTGCGCGGGGACCACGCTCAACCAAAACAAAGCGCTAAACCCACCAGTACGCCAGCTCTGCCTGTGAATTGGACTTGGTGCACGCTGGGTTTCTAGCGGTTTAATGTTCTGGCTCGCTTTCACTCTCCAGGACAGACGCCGTTGTGTTCCTGGTTGTTGACATTTCCACGGCATGCAATTAAATGAGAGGTTAGAGGACAAAAGAGTAGCTGTGAGATTTTACTCTCCTGCTAAAATTGAATATGAAACTTGTCTGTAGCGTTTTCCGGATATTACAGCATCACGCTTGGAATAATCCGACTGACATGGGAGATACTTGCGTACCTGAGGAATTAATTGCGTTAATTGAGCCTTGGATACTGAATAGTTGGAGCCATGAGAATGTAGTGCACGGAAAATTAGCTATTCCCCCCTCTTCACGACCATTTTGCTCAATTTGCTTGAATTCCAATCATCTGTAGAAGCAGCGGCCATCTTTGCAAACTCCAGCGCTCATACATCTATCGCGTACATACAAGAAGGTAGGGTATCATCAAACTAAGTAACTAGCACTTTTCATCATCATCATCATCAGAATGAATGGTCGGTCCTCACACAAGTACTTCAGTGCACTCCGGACACACTAGCTCAGGTCGCCAGCGGAAAACCCCCTGCTCAACGAGAAAGCACGGCAAGAAACATCACCATCACCAAAAACACCAGCCCAAAAACCAGCACCGCCACTGGCGAGGGCGCCGTGCGTCTATGTCGAGAGCGCAGGGACACCAGATCCTCAAGATGTTCGAGAAACTGCACTTCTGATTTTTCAACAGCCGCCTCCTTGTCCATCCACGCTTTGTATGCCGACACGTCGGCTTCCTCGGCAGGCTGAAAGCGATCGCGGGTTTTGTTGTAGGATGCGAGGGCTTGGTCTGGATGGGGTGTTAGGAGGTGGAAGCGAGATGCTAGAAGAGGAGAGAAGAGGAGAATAATTGGGGGGACGGAAAATAGGGGGCATACTGTACTGATTTAACTTCTCAAACACCCTCCCCAACAGCAGTGTCCGTCGCCGATACAAATCGATGTGACTACTCCCCTCCATCCTCCGCGACGACGGTAGCTTCACCCCTTCTTTCTCACTCCGGGCGCTCAGTTGCGCACAATGCTCGTCCAGGATTCGTAGCTCCTCTTCGAGCTCGCTCAGCTCATCCTGGATGTGCAGCAGGATGCGGTGATTGAGCGCCTCGAATTTGCGGTAGACAGGCGTGAGTCCCGCGTCCGCTGGTTGCTCGTCGTCTCCGGTGGGGTAGGCACTCTCGACGCGTCGCGATGCGACAGTGAGCTTCGCCGCGAGCAGCTCATAGCCGGTAACGGTTGTCGTGGAGGGATCAAAGGGCGGTTCGGGGTTGGCGATCGGGGGGTTGGGGAGCTGGAGTTGGTGGGCGATGGAGGGGTAGATGGGGGTCATGGGCGGATACGGCATGTGCGGGTAGTGGGCGTATGGATGGGCGTGCGGCGGAGCATAGGGCGGCTCGTGGGGGTACAGCGGCATTGGGGGGGGATACGGGGTGCCGGTGGTGGGAGGGCGAAAGGTGCGTTGGGGTTGCGGGCTTTGGAGGTGTTGGAGGGCATCGCGTTCGCGGGTTTCGAGGTTGCGGCGAAGGGAGTCTTCGGAGGGGTCGGCGGGCCGGCTGCTGGTGGTGGAGCGGATGCTGGAGCGGCGAGTGAGGGTTTGGGAGTGGGAGGCCGATCGGGGCTTCTTCTCGCTATTGTCTGGTTGGGATTGCGATTCATCGTTGGGCTCTGGGCTTGAACCGCGGATTGAGATGCCGGAGTCGGAGTGGGAGAGGTCAGGGGGACCGGGTTTATACATGTATCGCATGAGTTCCTGCGAAGGCATCTGGTCGGCGGAGAAGTAAGGAACGTGGTGCTGCTCTCCAATGCCTTGCTCTTTCTCCGCCGACTGGCTCCCATCGACCGATGTTGGTGAGCCCGGCTCTGGCGACACTTGCTGTAGGAACTCGAAGACGTGGAGCTCCTTTCCTTGTTGAATCGCCGCAAGCTGGCCCTCGTTCAGGGTTGAGGAGCTTCGTCCGGACTCCATGGCATGCTCTCCGTCTCGCCGCCTTCGAGAACTGACGGTCTTATTGTAGGACTTCTGCGTGACCGTCGAGTTGCTCCCGCTCGACGTGTTCGATGTGTTCGTAAGCGTCGATATAACCGACAGCAGCGATTGACTGGTCAACACGGGGACCTTTCGCTGTACGGCAACTCTCGACCGGACCGGCTTTCTATGCGTGCTCCTCCATTCATCAGCCTGCCTCCGACGTGACGACGATCTTGACCCCTCCGGATCGCTTTCGTCGGCTTCAAGGATCCGGTTCAGCCTCGTAGACTGGTGCGAGCTACCACTGGACTCAATGGGACTGGTATCCCTAGTAGTCCTGCGACTCCGACTCGGCCGGGAAGAATACCCTGGATGCGAAGCTCTACGCCTCGATGGTCGCTCTTCTTCCGCGTTTATCCATTGGGGGTTATCTCGCTGGTCGCCGTAGCCTGGATAGGAGGCACGCTTCCGGGAGTGCTGTGGGCGTGCCAGGTTGGAGGGATCCTTTAGGGAGGAGCCATTGGGCTCGAGAATCGAGGGAAACGAGGATGAGATCTGCTCCGCCTGCTGCGATCAGTATGAAGAAGTAATTTCCAGTTCTACGGTCAAAAGGAGCCGGGTTGATTCAACACACAGACTCAGACGGGAGTTTGCGGGTCTGGAGAGCACAAGATCATACCATAGCAAACACATCCCACGCAGAAACGGATGCGCGAACGGAGGATAAATATCACACATCGTCCGATCCACTGCAGCTAACCGAGTCATTGGGAAAGGAAGTCCGATGGTGCGAGAATGAGCATGTCGAACGGACTGTATAGCGGGGGGAGGTTGCGGACGTGGCACAAGTTGAATAGATGAGGCCAGGGATCCGGCGGTACAATGCAATGAGAGATGCAGATCGTGGCAACCCTGGAGCCGCTCGCGTTTCTCAGTTCTCGTCGCCTACGAGTGTCCTTGCTGCACCTGCTTCCGAGGACGGAATGCGGGATAACGTTTTCATAGCATGCTGGAGAGGTGGTGCACCAATCATTGATCCGAGACTAGTTCGACCGCCGTATGTGGTGGATATGATATGGTGCAGATAGTGTCTGCATAGGAAATTGATGAAGCTGATATAACCATTGATGACGAGTGCAACAGGGATGGATCTGATATCATCTTCTGGACTTCTTATTAAGCAACAAGTGACCCGTCGATTAATGGTATTTTTACAATTCGCTCTACGACTTGTGCAACCGAAAACGTTCGAGATAGTTGAATCCGCAAGATTTGGACTTCTGCATCAGCAAAGTGGATTTGCTCAACAATAATAATCTAGAACGACCGACGCTCTATTGTTCGAATCATGAGATGGAAATGGTCTACTCCAGATGTTTCAGAAGGGTAGTGGTCCACTTGTCTATGCCCCATAACGCCAAAACACCCCCTTTGACAAGACCTCCTGACAGCTGGCAATGTGTACAACCCAAAAAGACTCGTGGGAGTCTAAAATCTAGTGATATCCCGCCCGAACGCCCAATTGATAACCCTGCGAAAGTTAGCCCACACTTCTCCAACCGATACCCTCCCTCTACTCACCAATACATCGGAATTAGCAACTTATTCCTCCAACTCACGCTCTTCGTCAAATACGCCCCCCTCCACACAATCCATGCCGCCCGCCCCGACACATGCCCTCCCGTCCCCGCCTGCATAATCGCCCTCCACGACCCAATATACGCCAGCGTCCCGGCATTCTTCCAATTAAACCCGCCCCGCTCGAACCCGCCGCGATTCAGCCGCTTCGCCAGCCAATACGCCTTCTGCGACGCTACCTGCGCGGTCGCCGGGTAGCTCGTCCCCTCGGTCGTGGCGCAGTCGCCGATCGCGTAGACGTCCTGGAGGACGGTGGATTTCGCGTCGTCGGTCTTGGATTGCACGAGCACGCGGAGGCGGTCGTCGGTGATGATGGAGCCGGACTTGGACTGCTTTTTGATCTTCCAGAGCCGCTCGTGGCCGGTGTCGGGACCCGGGCGAGCTTCGCCGTGGGTAGTCTCGGGGAGGTCGAAGGTGCGGTCGAGGGCTTTGCTAATGAAGGGATTCATCATGAGGCCGGTGCTCCAGACCACCATTCCTACGCCGAGTTCTCCTTCTTCCTCTACCTTGAGGGTGAGGCATTGGCGTTGGGCGGCGGTGTCGAGGGATTTGGGTTGGTTTGGTGGTCCGAGGCGGAGGTTTTCGACATGATGGGAGGTCTTGATTTTGATGCCTTCTCTCCGGAACGTCTTCATGGCGTAGCTGCTTAGTTCTTCGTCGAACATGGGAAGCACGCTTGGAGCGACGTCGTAGACGGTGATGTTGCAGTATTTGACCAGATCAGGATATACTTTGGCTAAGTCTTCTTTGACGACATCGTGCAATTCGGCGGCAAACTCAATGCCAGTGGCTGCGAATATTAGCCTATTGGCTTCATTTCGGGCTAAGAGACTTACGGCCACCGCCGACAATGGCGAAGTTTAGCAGGTGCCTGCGGACTTCCTCCGAAGTGGTCGGTAGGGATGCCGTCTCGAAACCTAATGATCGTTCTGTTAATGACATGACATACCTAGTTGGCTTGAAAGGAGCTGATCTCACAGGTTAACAACTTCTTGCGAATTCTCCTCGCATCGCCAACGTCCTTCAAGAACAGGGCGTGCTCCCTGACTCCCGGCGTACCGAACGTCTGGCTATAACAACCCACGGCGATGATGAGCTTGTCCCACTTCATTTGGAAAGTTTTTCCCTTGAACGTCGGGTTCGGGATGCGATGTGGGTATGCCTCCTGCTCGGCCTTAGCATCACCAGTCAGAGAAAGCCCTTGTCTCGGATCATCCACCGCCTCTTCGACCATGATCGTCTTGTTCGTGAAGTCGACATCATCGGCCCAGCCTTGAACGAACTCGACACTCGTCCTTCGGCTTCGGACGGGTTCTAAGGCGGTTCTGAATTCCAAAGTGCCCACGGATGTGGAGGCGAGGAGAGGGGTGAAGACGAAATACGATCGAGGGGATATCACGATTGGGCGATAGATCTTTGCGTCGAGTTGTCTTGCCAATGTGTATCCAGCCCAGCCTGTTGTATAGAGTTAAAAGGACTAGATTTCCGTTGACAGGTACGTTAATGGCTCACCGGAACCCAGGACTATCACCGTTTGACGACCTACACATCAGCCAAATTAGCCACGACTTTCGGACATATTTGCACGAGAGGTTTCCTACCATCTTTTCCATTGCTCTTGCTCGACTTGCCGTCGTTCTCTCCCAGGAGACTGAATGTCGTGCTCAGACCTCGAGCTTGATGTATTCTTGCACAAAATATCTGTGACGGAATATCTGGTTTGTTGACAGCTGAACGGACTTGACGCAGGACTCCAATGCAAGGCCGGAGTGACATTCTACAACCTTAATCTAGCCTTGACAGCTTATCCTATTGATTTGATATGTCCACGGCTTAACCACAAGCTGTTATTCTCATGATAAAGCACCCCTGAGACTTTTGAGGTGTTGATGTTTGGAGCTGGAGCTGCCACGTGCGAATGACGAAATACTGCGTGTGACAACCAATGGAAAGTAAACAGGGAGATAGAGAAATGTAACCAGCGATATAATAATCTTTGGTGCTGCAAGACACAAGCAAGGTATGAACTCAAATCAAACCTAACCGTTGGACTTATATACAGTACCTCAGACGAAAACCTTTCGGCTTCAGCTGTCCAAGTCATACTCTCCTGCTGCCCTGCTGGGAGGTGACACCCCCAAACCTTCGGAATGCAACGGGATCATGCCGTGCCCAGATTAGTGACTACTGGTACACCTCGATGCCATGGCTCCGTTGTGATCCGCATCAGCATCGATAGGTTGTAGGGATTTCTCTCGCATCCTAAGACGATGACGTCGAGTTCGAGATGGTACAGGAAGACTTGCGCAAGGCACGGATCCTTTAAGCATGTGGACGGTCTTAGACTTGGTCGACGGACGGTAGATGCGCCGAAAGCTTGAGTCCTTCTGAGAGGATCGGAACAGAGCGAAAGATGTTAGTGAACCAACCGAAGGTGCAGGGGTGCTCGGGTGAAGACATGGATTCCTTGTTGACTCCGCATCTCGTGGGATGCATGACAATGGAAAAGAGCTTGTGACCGTCTGATAGTAACCTTTCACGCCGATGGTCGGGAGGGAAAGAGACATCTTGTGGTTATATTCTTGTGGTTATATTCTTGTATATATTTCCTAGTATAGATGCTGCTGCTTCGGTACAGCAACCATTGGATACTCCAGTCATGACCAAGAGAGAGCTTCCCGTTCAGCAGCTTCTCATCCTGTGTAAGGCTCCCCTCTTCGTCGCAGCTATAACCGCGCCAAACTCGAGCATCAATTCTTCATTATAGTACTGATAGGATATACCAGCGATATGTCGATTTGCCGAACCCATCTCCCTCACGAGCATCTTCCCTTACCTCCCCGAATACATCGAATCGTTTGGCATCCCCAAAGATGAAGTCGGTCGCTGGACAGGTACTATAACCCGTTTACCAGTCAAATGAAGAGGCGAGACTGTGATGCTGACGGAGACGTATAGGAATTACTTCGGCTATCTATTCCCTCTCACAATGCGTTACGGCAATACCATGGGGAAGGATATCCGACCGAATTGGCCGGAAACCCGTCATTCTTATGGGCCTTGTCAATACGATGATCACCTCGTTGCTCTGGGGTTTCTCGGGGTCCCTTCCCATGGCTCTTGTTGCGCGCGCATTGGCGGGAGCAGGTAATGGTAATGTTGGAATATTAAGGACCGTAGTAGCAGAGTTGGTTCCATACAAGGTAGGACGGCATGCACCCATTGCGCGACGTAGCTAACCCGATTTCGGCAGGAACTCCAACCACGTGCGTTCAGTATCATGCCTCTCGTCTACAACATCGGCACGGTCTTCGGCCCCATGATAGGAGGCGCGTTGGCAAACCCACTGCACCGCCAATACGGCGACCCCCCCAGCGACGCCTTCCTCGCCCGGTACCCCTACTCCATCCCGAACATCGTCTCCGCCACCCTCTTCCTCATTGGAATCGCGACCGGCGTCCTCTTCCTCCACGAAACCCTCGCCAGTCGCCGCAACTCCTACGATTGGGGTCTCGCGCTCGGCGAGCGGGTCACCCAGTTCTTTAAAGATCTGTGGCATCGGTCGCGGGGCGGGGAGACGGAGCCGCTGTTGAAACACGGGACGGGGTTCTCGAGTCGGCAGAGTACGAATTTGGAGAATAGATATAATGCGCAGAATGGGGAGCATGTGCAGGAGCCAAATCCGCCGTGGAAGGAGGTGTTAACGACGCAGTCAATCATAAATTTGATCGCATATACGTTGCTTGCGATGCACTCGATCGCGTACGATCAGTTGCTTTCGGTGTTCATGCATCATCCCGTGCAGGATGTGAACGATCCCGAGTTTCAACCTCCGTTTAAATTTGCGGGAGGATTTGGTATCAGTACGTTGAACCCGCTCATTATTTATTCGATACCTGGAAGACCCCACCAAATTCATTTTCTAATTACTCCCAGACTCCGACCGCATCGGCCCCTACTTCACCCTCTACGGCATCGCCTGCATGCTCTACCAATTCCTCATCTTTCCCCCCGTCGCCCGCCGCTACGGTGTCCTCCGCTGCTTCCGCATCTGCTCCCTCATCTTCCCCATCGTCTACTTCATCTCCCCTTTCGCCACACTCATGCCCACCCCTCTCGGGAAGCAGATCGTCCTCTTCATCTTCTGGCTCTTCAAAGGCCTCGCCAATACCTTCGCCTTCCCCTGCTCCACCATCCTCCTCACCAACTCCGCCACTAGCGTCCTCATCCTCGGCACCCTCAACGGCATCGCCACCACCGTCTCCGCCGTCGGCCGCTCCCTCGGCCCCTCCTCCGCCGGCTCTCTGTTCACCTGGGGCGTCGAGAACGGCTACATCATCACCCCCTTCTGGTACCTCTCCGCCGTCACCGTCGTCTCTGCCATCCCGACCTTCTTCCTCATCGAGGGCGCCGGGTTCGGCGACGACGCTAGCACTACCGAGGACGACGAAGTTGGATTCGACGCCGACGCCGATGAAGAGGAGGAAGACCTAGAGCGCTGGCCAGGCTCCTCGTACGACTCCTCAGGATCCGACGACGAGGAAGCCACCGAGGCGCTTGGGCCGCTGCTGAGCCGCGAGTCGACAATGTCTGCCGGGGGGTTTTGGCGACAGACGGGGTCGCCGGTGCCGTCGTCGGTGGTGGCGAGCAGCGTGGTATCAGAGGAGGAGATTGATGAGATGGAGAGCGGGGTGGTGAGTCGACGGGGGTCGTCGTTGCCAGGGAGGAGAGGGGGGCGGACGTTGAGGCGGCGGTCGAGCGTGCCGATTGGGATGGGGGTAGGGTTTAGGCGGATGAGTTCGAATTTGGGGCAGACGAGGAGTGGATATGGGACGGGGTCGAGTTTGGGGGGGTGATGATGATGGGAGGTGGAGGGAGGCTGGAAGAGTATTGGGTTTACATTGGGTAGGGCGCATATATCATTTGTTGCACCTCAGGGATAGGGTCCTAGTTTTGGACCCCTTGTTTATCGATCTCAGGGGCATGTTCAATATGTAGCTCGTGAGGCATTTTGAGGAGTTTGTATATCTTTGGTCTATAGCATATGTAGTCTTGGGCATGTTTATCCATAATTCCTCAAGATATACTAATCCCCAATACAAGGAATTCGACCACTCTTCGATCGAGATTCATACAATGGACATCCTGCAAACCACGCTAGATGTGAGAATCGAAAGTTGATTGGCAAAGTCATTCCAGATGGCGATATAATACGACACTAACACATATAGTCTCGCAATCGGCCAATCAGCAACGCATCTCGGGTGCAACTGCGCTTAACGGTCAACAAAGTCCGAACATCCTCAACTTCTTCCCCTAAGTACAGGATCAGGCGAAACAAAGAGATCACAGGAGCTTCATTTACGTAACCCTGTCGCCTCCGTCCGTTATCGATGGCTAATTCTAACGCCGACGAAAGCCGCCGGAGGTATAAGATGGCGACAATTCCTCCCGGTCGGACTGTCAGGTGCAAGAATCTGGCTCATCCATTACGACCACCGTGTATCGCTCATTCCTGGCCTTGAATTAGGGAAAATAGTAAGCTGGTTAGGAACGTGAGTCACGGACTGCTATCGGTATTGCTCCCTGAGGTAGTGGGAATTTAGAAAAGTCTTCAGACGCAAGATTGCAATCGTTTCTCTGAGCACACTTTATTCAAGTAACCCCAAGTTATTCTCAGCAGCAATGACGCTCCCTCCAACTGGCGAGAGTAAATTCCTCCCCTCCCGCAATGAGCTCGGCCTCGTGGCAGTTGGCTTCTCCGGCGGTCAGGTACGTACCACACCTCCTTCAGTCCCAGTTCCATTCGGCAGTTCGAAGAGCGTGCAAGAATCACTGTTAACACCCCCACAGACCAAAGCCGGCGTCGACGCTGCCCCCACGGCTCTCCTTGAAGCCGGCCTTATCCACCAACTCCAAAACGACCTCAACTACAACGTCACCTTCGACGGCCAAGTGCACACCTACGCGGACCTTATCCCCGCCTCCGACCCACCCCACCGCAACATGCTGCGCCCGAAATCCGTCAGCGCCGTCACGCGCGCAGTGTCCTCGCAAGTGTATACGCACGCGGCCGCGGGGCGCCTTGTGCTCACGCTCGGCGGCGACCACTCGATCGCGATCGGGACGATTTCCGGGACGGCGAGGGCGGTGCGGGAGAGATTAGGGCAGGAGATCGCAGTGGTGTGGGTGGATGCGCATGCGGATATCAATACGCCGGAGACGAGCGAGAGTGGCAATATCCATGGGATGCCGGTGAGTTTCCTGACGGGGATGACGCGGAGTGAGGATGAGGAACGGTTTGGGTGGTTGGGGGAGGAGCATTTGATTAGTGCGAGGAAGTTGGTGTATATCGCGTTGAGGGATATTGATCGGGGGGAGAAGGAGATTCTGAGGAGGGAGGGAATCAAGGCGTTTTCGATGCATGATATTGATCGGTGAGTGATTCTGGGAGTCATGTGGAGGATTATGTTAGGGTGTAGAACTAACGTTGAACATGATATAGACACGGCATCGGCAAAATCATGGACATGGCACTGGGCTGGATCGGAAGTGACACCCCCATCCACCTCTCCTTTGACGTCGACGCACTGGATCCGATGTGGGCTCCGAGCACGGGGACGCCCGTCCGCGGAGGACTAACCCTGAGAGAAGGCGACTTCATCGCCGAGTGCGTGGCGGAGACGGGGAATCTCATCGCACTGGATCTCGTTGAGGTCAATCCGAGCTTGGAAGTAACTGGGGCGCAAGAGACGGTTCGTGCCGGGTGCTCGATTATCCGATGCGCGCTGGGAGACACACTGCTGTGAGATGTATGATTGGGACTGGTGGAGCGGATGGGAGAGTATGAACGGAAATTCCACGGAATGGTTGAATTAGTACACAACCGGCGACCAGCTCATCTGGGCGGCAAATGCTTATCCGTCTATCAGGTCAAGGTCGCGACGGTAACTCATCCAGCTGCTGCTGCTCCAACACCAAGGCCGACATCAATTATTGGTATTGAATCTGCGAGATATTAGAGCCTTGCAGCTTCGGATATATTTCCAGTCTTTCCTACCTGTAATTGCATTTGGGACAGCGATAAAAGATTGTAGACCCTTCGTCTGCGCCGCGCAGTTGCACGTCCTTGAACAACATAGTCGGATTCTCACAGGAGGGGCATGATTGAGTGGTCGATGGCCACGTCTCTGCATCTTCTGACTTCATCGTCTGATTGACCGCACCACTACGCTTTTGCAGAAGAACTGACGGGAAAGCATCAGGTCTGGATCTAGTCGTAACGGACGTGAGCCACTTGTCTACGCCTAAGCTTAGCAGTGAAAACAGAGAGGCGGTATGATTCAAGCTCACTTTTATTGCAGCTTTTGCAAACATCACAAGTGATGGTCGGTTTCTCGGGAGGTATCCGATTCAGGAGACTTCCACAGCTAGTACAAAAGAGGACGGTACCGACCAGTGCCATGGTTGATGGTTCAGATGGATATGTGGGATTTAAGCATCACGATGATCAAATTAGCGGCTACCGCTTTCGAAGTGAGGAGAGTTCGGGGGGAACTTTAAACTTAAAAATAGTAATGCGCTATACCAAATACGGGTACACTAAATCATAAGTAACCTCCCTCCCTGTGTGCCGGGCGCCCCTGCGTGACGAGCTAAATCATGGGTACTTTGGCTTCAGAGCAAGCCAGACACTGCATACACATTGATATTTCTAAAGTTTTGTTTAATTTGTGTGCTGTAGCCATTCCTTAACTTCGAGACCATTTCTACTTAAAGAATTACGGTTAGCATCGCCGCCTTCTCGCCTGATTCCCGGAGAGTCTTCTGTCATACCCTAACAGAATTCTTCCGCCAAAGCACCACCATCGTGCCCTTACTACGTCTGAAACTCATTAAAGGCCCTTATCCGAGCCTTAGAGTCCTATAACGATGCTAGGCATCATCATCACCCTTGAGGCTGGTGTTGGGTGCAAATTTGCACAAGTTCACCACGCAGATCGGTACTTCTAATCCAAACGATGAACGATTCTGGCTAGCGCGGAACAATAATATCTACGTAATATATACACAACCGCGATGTAATTTAACCTAGCGTATGTACGGAGTACGTAATCATATTTGCCAAGTCTGTGGCTGTTTTACCTGTAGCTGCCGCAGTCTAATCATTCCTGGCGGACATAGCAATTCACTCTGTGCAGAAACACGAACGCCAGTTAGGCAGGGTTGGTCAACATGCAGAACTGGAAGTCCTCTGATTGACACCTGAGCAAAGTGCTGTCGCAAGCGGCCTGATTTCCCCTAGGGCAGCACCTATGCTTATGGATGCTTCATATGCTTCTAATCAGCTGCAAGAGATGTGAGCGACTGGGAAAAACGCGTCGACACTTGCCATTGGACGCCACGCGACAGTATTAGCAGCCTTGTTCTTGTACGACCAGCCAGTCGAGGCGTGCATTCGCGTCCGATCAAGGCACAAAATGCAAGGCTGAGGTCGCCGAGAACAAGCTGTGATGTGACGGCTACGAAGCGCAGCCTCGTGCTAAAGCTTATAATGGCCTTTCGCCGCCTCTTATGCTCGTCGTCCTCCGTCAAGTGAAGTAGAAAGCCTCGAACCGATTCCGGACGTTTCGCGACACTTTGGCTGTGTGGACGTCGTTCGAATCCCGCACTTTAACCATGGCGTCGTCTGGATGGCGGCGACTGATTCCATCCCGAAGCAAGCGTAAGGATGCTGTATGATGACTCCCATTCCATGCCTCTGTCAGGCTGACTTTGGTAGGTTAGCGAACCTTCGAAGCCGAAAAATCCTTTTGAGGCTCCTGCTCAAGGTCTCAAAGTAGTGGAGGAGGGAGAGCAGCCGGTGATAGAGTAAGCCATCCGTAGCATAACAAACGCCCGCACTGACAGCTCCTAGCATCGTTGCTGTCCATGGATTGAACGGGCACCGCGACAAGACCTGGACGGCCGTGAACGGCGTGCACTGGCTCCACGATCTCCTGCCGACCGATATCCCGAACGCGCGCGTCTTCTGCTGGGGATACGATGCGAACACGCATGGCGACCGCGTCAGCTGCCAATACCTATACGACCATGCAAGACAATTGGTGTCGGATCTGTGCCTTCAGAGAAGGCTTACAAAGGTATGGACACAGGCAGTAGTTAAAGGTGAAACTGACCGTGGCAGACAACGCAACGGCCAATTATCTTTGTGGCACACAGTCTAGGTGGGATCATAGTCAAGAGCGTAAGCCTCGTATATATCTCTTATCTGCGTAGCTAACCAAGCGAGGCTCTCATCCACTCGGACGCGGCACGTAAAGGCGCGCTAGCAGAACATCGGTCGATTACGACGTCGACATACGGGATCATGTTCATGGGCACGCCTCACCAAGGCGGCAGCGGAGTGCAGCTAGGGAAGCTGCTGATCAATGTGGCATCAGTGTTTATAGCTGCAGACGACCGGCTAATGAAGCATCTCGAGCAGAACTCGGAATGGCTTCAACAGCAGCTTGGGCAGTATAATCCGATCAGCAGCAAGTTTGTAACAAAGTTTGCGTACGAGGAGTACAAGACGCCGACGGTGCTGGGTCATTCAATTATGGTATGGTCTTGCTTCTGTTGTAGAATACAAAAGGCTGACAGCATAGGTGGTACCACTTGCATCAGCGGTTGTTCCTGGTGCCGCCGACGCAGAGCCGATCGCCATCCACGCAGACCACATCAACATGACCAAGTTCGCGTCGAAAGAAGATAATGGATATAGAACTGTGTCGGGGCATCTGCGAATCATGGCTGAGAGTGCGGGCGAAGCCATCGTCTTACGGTGGGCAGAGGAGGGTAGGGTCGATGCTGGTATGTAGCGCCAGTGTATAACTATCAAGAATAGTAATAACAGTAGCTGTGTGTAGCGCGTACTAACTCTGAAGAGAGCTTTCGTGTCGTCTTTAGCTTGCCTGAGGCCTCTGAGACCGATCACTTTGTTGCAAGACAAGCGGAGCTCGCTGCAATGCATAAGGCGCTCAGCGAGGGTACCGGCCGACAAGCAGTCACTCTGCACGGTCTAGGCGGGATTGGCAAGACACAGCTGGCAATTGCATACGTCAAAGCGCACCGTGACGACTATTCGGCAATATTCTGGCTGAACATCAAAGACGAAGTGTCAGTAAAGCAGAGCTATTTGCGGTTAGTAAGACGGATCTTGCAGGAACATCCATCGGCCAGCCAGCTTAGTGGAATCACGGAGGACAGCAAACCCGACGAAGCAGTGGCAGCAGTCAAGCGATGGCTAGAGCATGGCAAGAACACGCATTGGTTGATAATGTTAGATAATTACGATAACCCCAAGGTTCCAGGTAACGCGGATCCTGGTGCGGTCGACATCCGGCAGTTTCTGCCTGAGGCATATCATGGCTCGGTAGTTGTGACAACGAGATCGTCGAAAGTCAGTATCGGCCATCGCATAAAGGTAGGGAAGCTGGAAGATATAAGGGACAGCCTTCAGATACTCTCTAATGCCTCACACCGTGAGGACGTTATCGACAGTTAGTTAGATTCGGTTGCTAGTTGAAGAAGCAGCGCTTACACCATTAGATCCTGACGCAGCCGAACTTGCTAGAGAGCTGGATGGCCTACCGCTGGCCTTGGCTACGGCGGGCGCCTACCTTGACCAGGTGGCGACAAGCTTTGCTGCCTACCTTCGCCTGTACAGAGCATCATGGCTGAAGCTGCAACAGACGAGTCCCCTCGTAAGCAGTTACGAGGACCGGCGACTGTACTCGACATGGCAGCTATCATTCGAACATATCAAGCAGCAGAACGAGCTATCGTCAAGACTGCTTCAGCTATGGGCATACTTTGATAATCAAGATCTGTGGTTCGAGCTTCTGCAAGAAGGAAGGTCTAGCGGTCCGGACTGGCTTCGTCAACTCACGCAGGACGAGCTGAGCTTCAACGAGGCGGTAAGGGCTCTGTGTGATTACGCGTTGGTGGAAGTGGACAGGTCCTCTAGAGGAAGCGTTGAGTCTCAAGGGTACGGGATGCATAGTTGTGTGCACTCATGGACGGTGTATGTAGTCAACCAAGAATGGGATTCTAAGATGGCCGAGGTAGCTCTGGAGTGTGTGGGCAGCCATGCGCCAGAGGTTAATGCACAGCACTCCTGGCTGACTCAGCGTCGGCTGTTGCGACACTTAACCAAGTGTTGGGGGTTTATTATCGACGGCAGACTAGATGACGATGGCAAGGACTGGATTCTGTACAACTTCGGATATATATATTCGAGTCAGGGAAGGTTTGAAGAGGGGGAGAAGATGTACTTGCGAGCGCTGCAAGGCAAAGAGAAGGCATGGGGACCAGAGCATACATCAACACTC